CTTGTTAGATTGACCAAAATGCCACCAAGTTCCCAGAAGTTACTAGTGTCCACGCTTACTCAATGATGTACACTGCAAGGGAAAGTTGAGGACAATGAGAAGGCCTCCCAGGAGGCAACACCAAAGAAACGTCCTTGATGCCAATAAGATACAAAAGAGCTGCCAACTGGACAAGACCCTTTTGAAATGTTTTAAGTTTTGTCCCAGGACAAAAAAGGGACCTGGCTCAGCAATACCAGCTTTTGTGTCCCTTCCTAGGGGTGAGCACACAAAAGTTAGAGGGACAAGCTGCGTACCCTGATCCAGGCCTTGGACACAAGCAGGACACCTACCAGTCCCAACCTTCCCGGGGGTTTGAGAGCTGCTGTCTGTGGGCAGGTAGGAGTGCTTCCCAAACAGTCCTCCATTCCAAACCTTGACCACCCTGTACCTATCCTGTGATGAGCCTGATGTTTAGCATGAAGATCTCTCCAGGGAGGTGGTTGGGGGGATCACTGTGTTTCTAAGAATTCAAACTGAAAACACATCTTAGCAGGAATCCATTTCTGAAGCCGCTTGTCACCTGCTTCCCCTGTGGGGTGGATGGTTAACTCTGCAGTTTTCATTTGAGGCTAGAACGTGGTTGGCTATCAGTGAAGTAGGTGGTTGGTTTTAAAAGCTGAAGGCAGGCACCAGTGACAAAGGTGAAGAAACCAAGGATGCTAATAAAAATAAATGAAGTACTGATACATGCTGTAAGGATAAATCCTAAAACATTCTGCTAAATCAAAGAAGCGGGTCATAAAGGCCGCACATCGTAGGATTTCATTTATATGAAACGTCCAGAAAAGGCAAATCCATGTTGGAAAAGTAGATTAGTGGTTGCCTAAAACTTTAGGGGGATGAAGAGGTGGGGTGACAAGGAGATAACAGCAAAGATAATAAAAAACATTTAGGAATTGATTGTGGTAGTGATGTATGCACAGGTCTGAATAGGCTAATAGCCACTGAACTGTACGGTTATGTGAACTATAGCTCAGTAAAGCTGTTAAAAAATAATCAAGGCATTATTTAGTATCATTCGTTATGAAAAAGTTGTTGTAATATTGGTTTCTAAGGTTTGTAGTTATGTCTGACATCTCAACAAATTTAAGGAAGGGGCAGAATTGCCTTGCTCAAGCTTGACATCTTTCCACAGAACTTCTAGGGGGTATTTTGAGCTGGATAATCAAGCAAACTAGGAGATAGGACCTAGGAATCAAGGGTCCTGTTATTATAGGAAGCCAACCTGCAGCAGCAGGGACCGGTATTATGGCCTGTTATAGCACTGGGTGGCCTTGTGCTGTGCCCAGTAAGCTACTGCTCCACACCCTTCCTGGGACCTGTGTACACCAGTTCACATCCTCACAAGTCCCACAGGGCATAGGAGCACTGGTTTCCCCTTGGACTAACATCAGGGTTTTAATTTCATGCTACTTAAGCAAACCACAGGGCCTGTTCACCGCCAGCAACATGTTTGGTAGTTTTGGAGAAGCAGTTAGGAGTCAACCCTGAGAGCCAACCTTAGCTCATATGCAGGCTCTGTATTCAGACAGACACAAAGAATAAGCAAAAACAATCCTGTGTCCAGTTGTCAGAGACCAGGAGAGGTTATTGACTGTAAGCATAGACAAGGTCCTTAAGGAAGGCAGAGGCAGAGATGGGACAACTTCACCAAGATCTTGAAACCTGGATATAATAGGATTAACCTTAAGATGAAAGGAGAAGTAGACCAGGTATAAGAACCTACAACTGAACCTGTTATTTCTCCCATAAGAAAATGTAGTAACAACTTCTCCCAACTTTTAATTCCGTTTTCTTTTTTTCAGTTTTACTTTCTAACAACTACAGTCGACCCTTGACCATAGGCTTGAACTGTGTGGATCCACCTACATGTGGATTTTTTACAGTACCTGAGTGCACATGTATTTTCTCTTCCTTATTACTTTAATAACATTTTCTTTTCTCTAGCCTACTTTAAGAATATGGTATATAAATATACAAAATAGGGTTAATTGACTGTTTATGTTATTGGTAAGGCTTCCGATCAATTAACAGTAGGCTATTGATAGCTAAGTTTTGGGGGAGTCAAGAGTTACACTCAAGAGTTTGGATGGCACAAGGGGCCAGTGACCCCAGCTCCCATGTTGTTCAAGGGTACACTGTACTTAGCAAATGAAACACGGGCATCTGTTGTTGTTGAAGTCAGAGATGGCAGAGAAGGTAGCAATTTCACTGAACCCTTAATGTGATGTCAAAACACTGAGCTGGTGTCAGTTATAGGGGCTGATTTCATCCTGGTTGCTTGCTTTAAGTGAGACCACAGCAGTGGAGAATGAGGTAGGTACAGGAGGGATGAATGATGGTCCCAAGACAACTAGCCCTCCACCAGATTTTTATTCCTAATCATCCACCAGCTGCAACAAATATCAAGTAGGAAAAGAAAAAACATACTCATTTGGACCTACAGTTTTATTTTCACCTTAAAGAAATAACATGTTTCTAATATGAAGCACAAAGGAGCTGGTTACTAACATTTGATTTATGATAATGTTGTGTGGCCACCCTCTGCAACCCTGGAGGCTTGGCCAAGGTGCTGATCATGGTGATGTGGTCCCACATCTATCCAGTGGGGATCATGCCTGCCAGATCTCTGAGGGAAATCAATGGGGCACAGGCTAAGGGCTTGGCCACAAAGGCCTTCCAATTACTAGGCATAAGTTAGTATTTATGGTGCCAATTTGAGAAAGGGCTACTTCAATTGTCCTATTAGATACAGACATCATGCTATTTTATTTTTTGATTCAATTCAGACTTGCAAAAATAAAACCTTGTATCTTCTTTAGGGATCAGCTTTACCCATTCTTGGCTTCAAGAACATGATGATCAAGAGCTCACCTTTAACAAACATCCCTGTTACAGGAGATGGCAGGATATGGAGCCACCCTCTCTAGCGAGGGGTGGAGGTATGCATAAAATATGGATTCATATGGAAAGGAAACATTCTGAAGGATCAGAATATATTTGAAACTCATGCCACATAACATAGGTGTCATTTTTATTTTATTTAAAGAGAAAGGGGGGGAGGGGCCAACAGTAATTTTCATAATACACATAAGACAAGTTAGCACTGGGGGGGTGGGGGGGAGGCCACATACTTGCCACCAGTCTGCTTTGTAGCTCTAGGATTAGTAAATTTAATGCAGTCTGTCATTTGTATTACTGTTTAGCAATTTATAATTGGCAAAATTAGGGATTATGAATCACTGTAAACGGACTACAACTAAGACGAAAACCTAAATAAAATAAAAAATCACTTTAAAAATAAACCATAAATATGATGCACATTAGTGTAACAAAACCATTTTTGTAAACATTTTCTTCAACATAACATGTGCATGAGGAAAAAGACACTGCACTCAATACAGAGTTACTCTGATTTAAATACAGAAAGGTATTACTTATTAAAGCTTTGACTACACCTACAGACATATCTGTATTTTGTTTTGAAGAGCAGTGCTAAATATAAATAGTTTAATGTTCCATATTTAATGGTATCATAATACTGTTTTCTTTTGTAATTTTGCCATCTTGGCACTTTTGTGAAGTCACTACCCTGTTAAAGGAAAAAAACAAACCATCCCTTCTCTAGAAGAATGACATTTCACCTGTTCATAATCTTTTATGGAGAAACCTAACTGGGCACCTGTATGAAGCTGCAGCAACAAAATCTGGTTTACGAGGTGCCAAGGCTGGGAAGGCAAGGAAAGCACGCAACAGGAACCTGCCCCCCGCCTCCGCCCCCGTTTGGCTGTCTGACCTCAGGTGACTTAAGCCCAGAGACAGTCGTGATAGCATTCCATGCAAACACCACCAGAATGCCGTCGGGGTACCTCCTGCTGCTGCATGAGCAGGACAGGCTCGATTCTGGCTTGAGCTCAGACCCCATCACCTCGGAAAGGAAATCCAGTTTTTGTCAAGTTCTAACTATGCAGTAATTCCAATGAAAAACTGTTTGTCTTATCTGGTCACCCCCCTTGGCTTACAGCTTCAAGTCTTTCAAGTCTGTATACGTAAGACTGTGATGCCTCCGTCTTTTCTGTCTTCCTTATTGGTATCAGAAGTTTAGTGGGGGTTTTTTTGTTGTTTTTTTTTTCCAGACACCCGCTCAACTTTACCTGTACGTGAAGTCATGGGAGAGGCTACAATCAACCCAGCCATCGAGTTATTTCTTCTCTCGGCGTGCACACATGTTCACTGTGGCACATTTCATCTTACTCAAAAAGCCGAAACGTGCAGGAAATCACCAACAGTAATTTGATTCTGACTGAATTCCTGTGGTGATGGCATCTGGCCCATCTCAAAAGTCCCTTCCATAGGTGGGATTAAGTCTTCAATCTTCTCTATGTTAACTACAAATTAGTAGAAAAGAACTAGTCCTCTCTGCTTTGGACATAAGCATCACTCCAAAGTCTTAGAGACGGGAAAACCTTTTCCAATGCCTGTTCTTTTCAAAAGAGGGCAAGGCTTTCTCAGCTTGTCTTTGTGGGTAGGTACATCTGTGTTGTTTCTGCATCTGTGAGTATATCTATTTCTTGCTAGGTTTTTGTAATTCCAGACAACCTTTGGCAAAGATGCTGAACCAGGAGGAAGAGAATGATAGGGGTCAAAGTGGGTGCCAAATAGGATGAGAATGCTGGGCAAAGCCTTGACAGATAGGTACAAATGACTGTTATCTTTTTGGGAGGAAAATCCTCCTTTTTCATGTTGTAAAAGAAACTTAACCACAAAGGAGGATTAAGCCTAGGAAACACCAAGTTCTGTTTGGTAAACAAAGTTTAAAGCCACCATCACGCAATATTCCCACTCCAAACTCAACCAGAGGAAAGTAAGCTGGCAGAGCCAGGACACCGAGCATTGCTCCTTTACCAAGAGATTAATAGTCTCAGAGGAATCGAGTGACCATGAAGCCATAAAACAAATTATTACCCAAGACATTTATTACAAATGTCATGAACATATTCATAAAGTAAAACTGGTTTAAAAAACAGAGAGAGAACAAGAGAGCAAGTGAGAGGAGAAAAGCCAGGGCTTTGATATTACAACTAAAACACAGGAAGATGCCATCTTATGAATAAGCAGTATTAACTACATTCTTAAAATAGTTTTAGTGCATTGCATTTTTAGAAAAGGGAAACACCACCCCTCCCCCACCCCAAGAAAAGGTTCCTGCAACACTGAACAGTTTGTGTGACTATTCTAACATGACCATCCGTCTGCTACCAAACCCCGAATTGAGAACAATGAGGCCTCTTATGTTGTAGGCCATAGTTGCCCATCAACCACTAATGGTGCATCTGGTGAAAACAAAGCATTCTGCTCTCTGAACTTAGAAAACAGATTGCATCTGTCAGCACGATGAAGCCATATGGCTATTTCCCATCTTCAGGGACAATTTCTCTTGTGCCTACTGAAACCTGTGACAAAATTAACAGTCAAAACTTCAATCTGATAGTTTTGGTATTAAGATTAAATTAAACATTAATGTTTTCCTCCAAAAAACATAGAAACTAAACCACCTCTTAATGCATTACAAATAATGAGGTAGGCAAAAAAACAAACGTGGTTGAAAAATTTCTTTTCCTCTGCAAGTGCAGACTGTGGTAAAACTGTTGTCGCACTTCTAGGTTTAAACAAAAATTAAACCTTTAACTGAGGCAGTGCTAATACTGTCACACAACAAAGTTCTGGCCATTATACAAATGCACACATTTTCTTTTTCTTTTTTTTTTTAAAGAACCATCTGCACATGATTTAGGCAAAACCTGGTACACAGAAAAATGACTGAGTTTTTGGCCAAGCCAAAAAAAAAAAAATCCAAATAAACAAAATGGGACCCCCTTAACCCACCCCACCCTGCCTCCCAAGCCCCACCCACAAAGGTTATCCTAGTAACTGTGTCTTTCACATTTTATAAATATTAACTTCTTAAACCTGCACCTTCTTCTTTGACCACATATTGTCACATTACAAAAAAGAAATGTCAATTAAATACACTGTTAATGTTACTATATTAAATCTGCTCTCTGCTTCAGCAAACTGCTCGTTAGACCACCATCTTACACCTCCTTGTGCCCACTTCCAACAAAACCAATGGCATGTTCATAGTCTCCACCTTCCATACCCACAAGACAGAGTCACTCAGAGACAAGGAATTCTGGAGCTGAAGGAAAGGCATTTGCTTTCTGGTCTGATGCTCAATCCCAAACACTTATAGCACCTGATGGTAGAATGTGAACAGCACCAGCTGCATTGCAGCCTTGATTTATTTTTGAGTAGGGAAAAGAAGAGAAGGGGGATAAACTGGTAAGAGGTGCAAGAAAGGAAACAAAACGAAACAAAACAAAACAAAAAACCCCCACACATGGTGTCCGCACACACAGCTGTCCTGGACCACACCGGTGCAGCTCTGAGCTCCAGTTGCAAGGAATTCCAAGTTCTCAGGATCCTGAAGACTCTGGGGACCAGCAAGCCTCATCTCACTGCTTCTACCAGCTCAGAAGAGAAGTCCTGCCTAACGTCATGAAGTAAACCTGACTGCTGCCACCAGACCGAACAGAGGCAAAGAAGACCTGCAAAAGCAAGAGAAAAAGAGAGGGAGAGATTTACCATGAAAACACAACCTAGTCCTCGGGAGCAATGCTTCCTATAGTTCCTAGGCAGATAACCTAGAGCCACTGCCACCTCAACAGCTCCAAATGCAGGAAGCTTAAAAGCCCAAAGGCCCTTTCCAAAAGAAAATCTGAGATGATATCAATTTATCATACATAAGTAGTCATCATCTCTGTAGGCAATTTTTATTACAACTAAGAAGGCTTTACCATACTGTGAGAACTCAAAAGAAAGGAATTGATATTTCTGAAATTGAGCAATTTCTTTTTACCTCCACTGCTAATAATATCTAAAAGATAAATGTGTCTGGGAAAACACAATGAGCAATGGAGAGGACGCCTCACCAACCTGCTTTTTCTCTTTTAAAAAACTAAGCTAAAATGTATTAGTTATTTCACAGGACTCTATAGTCAAAATTACGACAATTTACTTTTGAGCCTTTTATTAATAGACTTTAAGGGATGTAACATTATAAATAATAAAAATATCTAAATGCCCGAAGTTCAAAGAATATTATAGTTATGGCTACATTAAATATACTCAGGAAAGTATAAGCCAAAAAGCTGGCAAAATCCTGGATTGGGTTGGAGGTTGTATGGGGTTTCAAGGTAAACAATTTGGGAGATACTATTAGAAAAAAAATGTGAACTCCATTAGTAAATGAGCTGTAGGATTGCAGGAAAGTGGGCTGGTGGTGATGCAGCTTATTTAGTGAGCAGGTAGTTAGGCAGGAGGACCACCCAAGGACAGATCTACAGCTCCTTTATCAAGCTGAATTTTTAAATTTAATCTGAGCAATCAGTGGGCCAGTGGCTAGGATATTTAATATATTTTAATGTGAAGCAAGGGGTGGAAACGTTCTTAAGAGGCAAATTCCTAAGGCTGCAATGGGCTGCCCCAGGTGGGCAGAGGCTTTCCATCCAGGTGGATGGATGAGAAAGAAAGTTGGGCTTGGAAAAGGCCAGGCCCACCGGGAGGTCCTTCTCAAAGGAAGGTGGGATGGGTCAACACCCAAGGCCATCCAGCTGCTTCACTCCAAAGCTGGCTTAGGGAGGGGCTTCCAGGGAGAAAGTAGGCCCTGGATGAGACAAGGATGTGGCCAGTTTTGAAAACCACAGGTTTTAAATGGGGCTTTGAAGCCCTGGGGTCTCAGCTGCAGGAGGTGCTCATGCTTCTGCATAAAATGATTTATGTGGTTAGGTATTGCTGACATGTGAACTATAAAGTTATTTTACTATTCAGAAGCAGACAAGTGGTCTGATGCATATCAGGGGAGAGGAAACTTTTACCTACCCAAATTTGCAAGAGGGTTCCTTCCAATCACAAAAGAATCCCATTCATTTAAAATGGCAGCTTTAACCCTCCCTGTCCCTAAACCCAAACATAGCTCACACAGATCACCTAATGGGGTTAAAAACAACCAGCACAAACAAACCAACAAATAATGATTTCGGCAGAGATAAGTATCTCTTGTCCTCTTATAAGCAAACACAAAATAGAATATACTCCATCCCCCATAAACAGGTTTAAAAAGTCACTACTAAAACATTGCTTGATTAGTTTATTTCAGAATCTATCAAAACCCCAAGAAAAGGCTTCACCAAACTCCATGGAAAATAAACCATTACTAAAGCTAGTAGTAGCTAAAAAGAAGTTGTAAGGAAACCATTACCTTGTCATTGCGTTCACATAAGAATTTTAGTCTTTGAGCCCTTTTGTGCATAAACACACCATCCAAGTGACCAGTTTCCACGGATCGGATCTCTATGGCCTTTTCTCCCCAGCCCATCGTCTGATTGGATCGAATATATGCTTTTTGAGAAGGGGGAAAACATGTAATTGTTAGATAAGGAAACAGCCATGAAAAGATGCTGCTCTTATAATACACACATACCTGCATGTCTAGCACTTAAGGACTTTTGTTTTTAAGGAACGTTGCCTTTGCAACCTTTTAAAGTTTATCCTGGGAAGTGGTAATTTGAATTCCTGACATGGTTCATGCTTATCGTTAGCAATGACCCACTGGATGCAGAGTTTTGAGCTCTTATTTTTATGAAACCAGTCGTAAAGAAGGCAGGAGGAAGTGATAAAGAGAGACAGTGATTAACTGCAAAGAAACCAAAAGAAGTCGGGGATATAAACTGAAAATTTCAGATATCAACCTTTCTGCCTCTTTATTCTTGAATGCACGCCGGAAGATCAAGAGGCTGTGTTTCTAGTTGTGGCTCTGCCACTCAAAAGAACAAGTCCCTTACGCTTTTTCTGTCTCACCTTACTTTCTACAAATCAGTCAACAACATCTGTTCTATTCCCTGGATGTCTTAAGGATTAAATGACAAGAGTTTTAAAAAGTGTTCAGTAATTACTTGGATTTTGTTTTAAAATAGACAATGACCAGTCCCATGGTCTACAATCTTACTTGCCACCATCTATTGCCAACCATTCTGCTAAATGACCAGAAGGTCTACACAACAGGTAAAACTTGTCTGATAAATATATGCAGTTTTAGAGAAGGCCCCACTTTTACAAGTGCTACCTTTTCCTCTGATACCTACCTACAGATGTCGGCATCTCTCCCCACTGCAGAACCACATCCTTGGTGATTCTTCCATAGGTATTCACATAAACCCCTTCATCTTCATAGCACACCAGAAGCTCCATGCCATCTGTGTTGGGGAGGATGATGATTGCATGGGGTTTGATGCTACACTGGATCTAGAGAAGAGGAACAAAGTACAGGGAAGTAGGTTTGTGGTTATTTCTATCCCTGCAAAAGTGCTCAAAAGATTGTCTTGGTGAAGGCACTGGTTAATATTCTTGGTGAAAATACAGCAATTGAATAAAATTCTGGAAAACCCATGCAGTATATATCCCAAAGACTAGCTTTTACAGGTCATATACTCTACTAGTTCACATTTCTGAGGCCCCTGGAACATATTTGGATTGTGGACTCCATTAAGACATTTTGTTCCCCAAACCATTCCCAACCCAGGGAAGTTCTGGCCTGCCAGCAACTGCCCCAAATCCATCCCATGTTAGTCAAAGCCAGGGCTAAGAGGTTTTCAGGAGGGCCTCACAGAGCCAGGGGAATGGATTTCCACTTGTCTCAGAGCATGCAGCTATTGAAAATGGCACATCGTTTAAATACTCACCCCCATACCAAGGGGAAGCAAGGAATCCCTGCTTGTGTTAGTTCATTAAGCAGAGTAAAGAAAAAAGTCAAAACAAAATGAAGCCAGTCAACCAACCATAGAGTGTGGGTTCTTTCTTACGTGTGTTGGTAGATAAATGTCATAGACAGATCCCGAATCCACATCTACAGCATGGAATCCAGCACAGGATCCATAGATCACTTTCAACCTCTGGCCTTCCTCCACAGTGAGATCCACCAGCAATGGCTTATGTACCAGTTCTCCAAATGACTACAAAGAAGTAGTAGACAGAGTAGAGAAGCAGTAAGACAGAGAAGAACTTATTTCTGATAGATCAAACTAGAGAAGCCAAACCCAAGGTACTCAGTTATTTAATTACTGAGCTACTCTGGCAACAACCATAAGCAAAAATACTCTAGAAAATAAATCTTTTTAAATTTATTATGATTTTGTCTGTCAATCAGCATCTGAAAGACAATTCTTCCAGAAGTCACACGGCAAATTCCCCCTAGTTGGCCCAAGAATTCCACTCTGTTGTTTGCCTTGGTGACAAATACATCTAAAGTGAAATAATCAGGACTTTCTGTAGTATACTGTTCAACTAGTCAGATGCAGGCAATGGAGAAACAGGAGGAGTTGTAGGAGTCACATATTGAGAATTTTCAGTAAGGTCATCATAGTCACCACACAGACTTCTACTTTCATTTCTCGACTAGAGTGATACAGTGATGAAAAGCTGTACTGGAAGAGCCTGCATGACCTATAATGGACTGCGTGACCCCAGTTCTTCATTAGTATCAATACCTACAGCTCACAAGACAGACTTAATATATTTATAAAAGCAACTCAGAGAGTACACCTGGCACATAAAGGATATTAAGACCAGATCTCAGAAGACAGCTGTAATTTTACAACCAATTACTTTAGGTCAATAATATGTGGATTTATTTTTTAAGCAAACATGGTAACCCCATTTATCCTGCTTTACTGGGGAATCAAGCAATAAGCAATCTAAAGATGTCAATTTTCCAAATACTTGAAGCTTACCCCTAATAAAATGTACCAAAAACTATTTTAAAAAAATAAGTAAATAGAATCATTTTGGATGAAAAATTCTTCATTTCTTGATAGGCGCTAAAACAGCCTCAGGGCTATGCTTAAGGTTTTGTGTCTAATATTGGAAATGAGGTTATTAAGTTATTTATAATATCTACTATCATAGTAATATCATTTTAACTAAGGATTTCCTAAGTTTGTATCTAATGTAAACTCTAGAATTATAAAAAATACTAAAAATACCCAGAGAAAACTGCTACGATTTTCCTACAGTTTTTCCCTTAAACAAAAATGATATATTATTCTTAACTTACTTTTTCTATTTAATGCGTAATACATATTCCTTGTGTCATGAAGAATTTCTGTAATTTTTAGTACTCTATCGAATAGCTATACCTTCAAGCTGCCTACTGTTGGCATACAGTATTATCAAAAACATACCTAAATCTTTATACACATGCATGACTTCAGGTAGCAGGTCAAAGTCTACTTTTTAAACAGAGGAGGTGTTATTTTGTCCTTTCTTCTGTTACCATATTGACATATCAATCAAAGTGCCTACCAAATATTTAGCTTTCTCCTTCTCATACTCTGAAGACTCAGAAAGCAGACAGTGAGGCTTATTACATTGGAAATGGCCTCTCTTATTGATAAAGTTATACACTGTGTTATTACATAATTTTTAAATGATCAGTTTTAAATGTTTACAGTTTTTAAACGTATCCCCTGGCTCTTGGTCACACATGCATGGCTGATGCTACTTTTAAGTACACTTGATGCTGTTACCTTAAAGGCCATAAATTTGTGATATGGCTTGGGTGCCCACGCATAGACCTCCACAGAACTCTTCAAAGCAATTACCAGAAATTTGATTCTTTCATATTTTACTGAAAACAACAAACATAAAACAAGAGAAGCACAAGTCAGAATCAACATGGAACTCCAAATTCTGTTAATTGTCTTTTGCAAACTTTATAAATATGCCTTCTATTGAGTCATTCAGACCAACAGGAGAAAAATACTGAGTGATCAAACCTCAGAGTTTCCTCTTCCAATACTTTTATGTACGATTCAGGCTGTTCCCATCTTTCTTGATGATGTATGGGACTCAATCAACTCCGATACTCTGGTTACTATCAGTGAGTACTTTCACTAATGTTTCTAATCTTCTTAGATTGCAAGTATTTAATAATCAAGGACAATGCCAGCCATACCACTCTGAAGTCTTAAGGGCTCAGTATTACTTCAAAAGGATAATAGTGAGGTTAATCAGTTAAGTATCACTTTGAACCACCTTTTGATCTACAGAGGTAGTGACTACTTGAATTCTACCTAAAGTTCTGTACAAAAACAGCAGTAGTAAAGGAAATATAGTTGAAAATGCCTTCTTCACATAGCTGTTTTGGTTCTCCTGCAGCCAGGCAACGCTACTTAAAAACAGATGCGCTCTGGGTGTTGTATGTAAGTGATTCATCACTGACTTCCACTCCAGAAACCAATACTACACTATATGTTAACTAATAAAATTTAAATTAAAAAAATAAATAAAAAATAAGTGTGGTTACAGCACTGTAAACAAACAAACCCCAGATGCTCTGACGGGCTGTGACCACAAATGTAGCTCTATTAGTTTCTTTATAAGCTATCCAATGTCACACTACTACTTGAGTACTTTGTACATGAGAGATGACTTGTTAACTTGGTAACTCGCCTTGTTAAATTCCATATACAGTCACAATTCAAATAAATCACTGACATTAATATTAAGACACAAAGGATTACAAGAGGTTGTCCAAAGCAGTGCTGCTTAATAAAATTTTCTGCAATGATCAAAAGGTTTTGTGTGTGTGTACTGTTAATAGGATAGCCACTAGTTATATGTGGCCATCGGGCACCTGGAATGTAGTAGTGCCACTGAGGAACTACATTTTAAAGTTTATTTCACGTTAACTAATTTAAATATACATTTAAATAGCCCCTCTTCTTGATGGCAACTATACTGTACAGCACAGGTTTTGATAAACGGAATATAATTTCCTGAAAGTATAAAGACAATGAATGAATGGTATTGCACACTCTTATCTCAGAAAATGTTTTGATTCATTCTGTAAGAATGACAGGTCTGAGGATTGCTGTTTTGTTCCAACGAAAAGCCCAGCGCCGCCTAACACATTTGCCTCTAGCTCCCCTTGTAGGATAATCTATTCTTGTACATTTCACCTGTTTTGATCTGTTTCATTAAATTTAGACTTAGATGATTCTGGTTACACCTCAAGAATTCTTTCACATAAACACAACACAGAAAATCCTAATCCCAAAATTTAATCAGGGAGATAGTACTACTTTTTAGTAATTCAGAATCACTCCAATATTGGGGTGGCTCCTGCAGTCATTATTAATCAATGCGCTGAGAGCTGTAGACAGATTACATCAATAAGAAGAAAATGTCAAAGACTGTAATATTCTTGGAAGCAGAGGAACTGACTACAGCATATATTTTATAAACATAGAAAAAATAAAACATACTAGCAGAAATCAGTATATAATAGGACGTGACATTAGTCAGTCATAGGTATATAGAGACCATTTGTTGCTTTTTCAAATTCTATTACAATATATCATCTCTCCCATAGAAGTTTAATTTGGCTAAGTTCCATTATTTCCCCTTTATTTCCAACATTAGTACTAGTATTTTGATTTTCTTCATACATAAAAAATTTGTTTTAGTTTTGTTCTTGTAAGCTCTTATTACATAAGAACCACAGCAGGCAAGCCAAAAAGGGAAAAAAAACAAAACAAGACAGTTGCTATGAAACACTGGCTGACCAGCCTGATTCATTTAGTAGTTAGAGCACAGTAGCTCTGCACAGTGCACTTCATTCAAAATGACAAGCCACAGCTCTTTGGTCAAACTCTCAAACTTTCTATCAGTGACTGCCAAGAACCCAAAGTCCTCTAAATGGAGAATAGGCCTGGAGTGCAAAGCAAGAATCCAAATTGGCTGGCTTTCCTTTGGCAAGGTTTCCTTAGAGAGGTTCTTATGGCCACAGCTTGCAGAGAAGAAATGTGGACTGTCAAAGAGGAAGGGTGAAAAGCCTCGCTTACAGGATGAACTGTGAGGATGAGACGGACAGAGGACAGGGTGAGCAGCAGGAATGAATGGTGTTATGCTAAAAGGTGCACTGTGAGTCTAGATGACACTTCAGGATTAGAAGATGCCTTAGAAACATAATCGCAGAAATGAGCTAGGGGGATCAGAAACAACACTAACTAAACCCTGCAAAACAAAATCTCACGACCCTCCTGCAACTTACCAACTTTATAGTGTACACATCCTTCCAAATCTCCCACAGTTGTCCATCCCTGCTTCTTCTCAACTTCTGGATCATTGTGAAGTATTTTATTTCTTAACCAGGACAAATAGTAGACACGTAACTTATCCTTTTTGCCTAGCAAAACAAATATAAATATTTTACATGCATATTCAAAGTAGATACCATCATTAATAATAGTAGCCAAAGAAACATCAATGACCAACGAATATCCTTCTAAGGGAACCATCTCTATGAGTTTTACTAGAACCTCAATTTAAGCTATTCAGATGGACTTTAAAATTCCTATAGAATTATTATCAAGTATAGGCCTGAGTTAGAAGGAAAGATTTTATTTATTTATTTACTTATTATTTATTTATTTATTTGAGAGAGAGAGAGAGAGAGAGAGAGAGAGACTGAGAGGATGAGAGCGGAGGGGCAGAAGGAGAGAGAGAATCGTAAGCAGGCTCCACGCCCAGCACAGAGCCTGATGCGGGCTCCATCTCACGACCCTGAGATCGTGACCTGAGCTGAAATCAAGAGTCGGATGCTTAACCAACTGAGCCACTCAGGCGCCCCAAAACCTGTGCTGTACAGTATAGTTGCCATCAAGAAGAGGGGCTATTTAAATGTATATTTAAATTAGTTAACGTGAAATAAACTTTAAAATGTAGTTCCTCAGTGGCACCACTAAGACTAAAGAACTTAGACTTATGTAAACAGTCAGTATTCATAAACCACAAAGTAATACAAACACCTACACAGCAATACAACCCATAGAACTTATAAGGCGCTCTCACAAGTATAATGTCCTCTGATTCTCAAAACTCTCTGGAATAGCTATTATTTCTCATTAGACAGCATAGAAAGATTAAATAAATCACCCAAGGCAGGGACTCAAATCCAGCAAAAAGCAAGCCATAAACTGGAGATCTGTACAACTTACAGAGCTGACAGAGGACTCACAACCTATAAATCACTTAGAAGAGAGAAAACCCAATAGAAAAAGTGGGCAATCGACTACAACAGGCAAAAGAAAACAACAATAGTACTAAAAGTAGGGAAGGTGTGAAGGAACTAGAAACTAGTGTTAACTATTAGAACCACTTTGAAAAGTCTGACATTATCTAATAAAGTAGGATATACGCATACCCTACTTATGATCCAGTAATTTCTCTAATATAAAGGTCTGTGTATGAGCCCCCAAATACAAACGAGAATGTTCATAGCAGCATTGTTCCTAAGAGCTGTAAACAGCAAACACAAACATGTATCAACAGTAGAACAAATAAATTATGGTATAGTCATACACAGAAGTCAAGTGGAACAAAATAGCTCTATGAGCAACAACAAAATGATGCTGAACAGAAGAAACTAGACATACTGACAAGCTTAAGAAGAAAAATCATATGATCATATCAACAGATGCAGAAAAAACATCTGACAAAACCCAATATCCATTTCACAATCGAAAACTCACAGTAAATAGGAATAGAGGGGAACTGCTTCAATTTGCTAAAGAACATGTATAAAAAACTTACGGCTAATACCATACTTAAAGGTGAGAAACTAGATACTTTCCTCTTTAGGAACAAGGAAAGGGTGTCTCCACTTACCACTCCTAAACATCAAAGTAGATGTCTTAGCTAATGCAATAGGACAAAGGAAATAAACGGTATACAAACTGGGAAGGAAGAAATACAGGATTATGTAAGTAGAAAATACCAAACAACTGGCTAAAAAAAAAATCCTGTAACTAATAAAATGATTATAGTAAGGTTGCAAGTTACAAGGTTCATACATAAAAGTCAATTGCTTTCCTATATACTTGCAATAAGCAATTGGAAATTTGAAATAAAAAACACAGCACCATCTACAGAAAAACTAAAAACAGGGGCGGCCTGAGTGGCTCAGTCAGTTGAGTGTCGTACTCTTGATGTTGGCCCAGGTCATAATCTCAGGGTTCTAAGAGCGAGCCCTGCGTCAGACTCCACACTCGATGGAGAGTTTGCTTGAGATTCTCTCCCTCTCACCCGCCCCTCCCCCCACCTCTCTTTAAAACATTAATACATCTTTTTAAAAAAAGCACTTAAGTCAAAGGATATACTTAGTTATAAATCTAACAAAGGAGCCCTAAATAAGATCTCTATGAGGAAAACTATAAAACTCTGAAGAAGAAGGAAATTAAAGGAGACCTAAACAGATGGAGATATATTTAATGGTCATGGATAGAACTCAATATTGCTACAATATCAGTTCTACTCATCTAGGGAATCAATGTAATCCCAATCAAAATCCTATCAAGTTATTTAATACATATTGATAAGCTGACTCTAAAGTTTATATGGAAAGGCAAGAGCCAGAACAGCCAACACAATATTGAAAAAGAACAACTTTGGAGGGCTGATACTATGTGGCCTCAAGATTTATTATAAAGCTACAATAATCGAGACAATATGGTACTAGCAAAAGGAAAAACAGATCAATGGAACAAAACAGAGAGCCCAGAAATAGACCCACACAAAACACTGATGTGGATGTGGAGCAAAAGGGACTCTTCATTTGAGGTCTGTAGAAAATCAAAATGATACAGCCACTTCGGAAGACGGGCTGGCTATTTCTTACAAAGCTAAATGTAGCCTTATCTTATGCTCCAGCAATCATGCTCCTAGGTTTTTAACTAAACACATGAGTTGAAACCTTATGTCTATGCAAAAAGCTGTCCACAGATATTTATAGCAGCTTTATTCTTAATTGCTAAAATTTGGAAGCAACCAAGAGGTCTTTCAATAAGTGAATGGATAAACAAAGTGGCACATCCACACAACCGATTATTCAGCAGTTAAAGAAATGCACAATCAAGTCATGAAAAGACATGGAAGAACCTTAAATACATATTGCTAAAGAAAGAAGCCAGTCTGAAAAGGCTACATATTACATGATTCCAACTATGACATTCTGGAGAAGGTCATATAGAGAGTTTAAAAAAAAAAAAATCAAGTTGTTGCCAGGGACTTTAGGGGAGAGATGAATAGGTGGAGCATAGGGGATTTTTAGGGCAGTGAAATTAGTCTGTTAATGGTGGATAATTATGTGTTTGTCAGAACCCTGAACTGTACAATACAAAGAGTGAACCTCAATGTAAACTTCAGACTTTAATTAATAATAATATTGTTAATATCAGCTCATCAATTACAACAAATATACTACACTAATGTGATACACTAATGCAGATGATAGGGAAAACTGGAGGTGGGGGTGTAATATGGGAATTGTCTATATTTTCTTTTCAACTTTTCTGTAAACTTAAAGGTGCTCTTTAAAAAAACGCAGCCAGACACAAAAGAATGCTTACCGTTTTACCATTTATATCAATTCACTTCAATGAAGGTAAAACCAACCTAAGGTATTTTAAAAGACAGTGCTTCCCTCTGGGGAGCAGGGGGGGCAATGACTGGGAGGCAGCAAAGTGGGTACTGCAGGGGAGCTTCTGGGCTACTTGGGATTGTTGCATTTCTTCACCAGGGTAGGTGAATGGATCCTAAGTGGATGGATTCTTTTTTTTTTTTTTAAAGATTTTATTTATTTATTTGAGAGAGAGAGAATGAGAGAGAGAGAGCACGAGAGGGAAGAGGGTCAGAGGGAGAAGCAGACTCCCTGCTCAGCAGGGAGCCCGACGTGGGACTCGATCCTGGGACTCCAGGATCATGACCTGAGCCGATGGATTCTAACTGCGACAATTCACTGAGTATATACTTATAATCTGTGCACTTTCTGTGTTACATCTTACACTTTAATCTTTTTAGGTTTTGAAGACTTTTTGAATGTGGGAAAATACTCAATAAAATGTTAAATGAAACAAAAACCAATCTCAGGAAACAAACTGAGGGTTGCTGGAGTGGTGGGGGGTGGGAGGGATTGGGTGGCTGGGTGATAGACATCGGGGAGGGCATGTGCTATGGTGAGCACTGTGAATTGTACAAGACCGATGAATCACGGATCTGTACTTCTGAAACAAATAATGCAATATATGTTAAGAAAAAAAAAAAGAAGAAGAAGATAGCAGGAGGGGAAGAATGAAGGGGAGTAAGTCGGAGGGGGAGACGAACCATTAGAGACGATGGACTCTGAAAAACAAACGGAGGGTTCTAGAGGGGAGGGGGGTGGGGGGATGGGTTAGCCTGGTGATGGGTATTAAAGAGGGCACATTCTGCGTGGAGCACTGGGTGTTATGCACAAACAATGAATCATGGAACACTGCATCCAAAACTAATGATGTAATGTATGGTGGTTAACATAACAATAAAAAATTATTAAAAAAACAAAAAACAAAAAAACAAAAACCATGTAGTTTTATGTATATAGTGTTTCATTCCCATATTGTGATAAATCTTTATAGAAATGAGAAGGAGGAGGGGCTCCTGGGTGGCTCAGTGGGTTAAGCATCTCCTTCGGCTCAGGTCATGATCCCAGGGTCCGCTCAGCAGGGAGCCTGCTTCTCTCTCTCCCTCTGCCCTTCCCCCTGCTTGTTCTGTCTCCCTAATAAGTAAATAAAATCTTTAAAAAAAAATGAGGAGGAAATATAAAAAAATGTCAACAAGAGTTGTCTCTGAGATGGGGTAGCATTTTGTTTTATTCTTCCTAAGTTTTTTCTATTTTCAAAGCTTCCCAAAATTAACATATTACCTTCATGATTGTAGAAACCATTGCAAAAGAGGAACAGAGGGGCACCTGGGTGCCTCAACTGGTTAAGTGACTGCCTTTGGCTCAGGTCATGATCCCAGGGTCCTGGGATCAAGCCCCTCATCAGGCTCCCTGCTTAGTGGGGAGTCCGCTTCTCTCTCTCCCTCTGCCGCTCCCCCTGCCTGTGCTCTCCTGCTCTGGCAAATAAATAAAATCTTAAAAAAAATAAAATAAAATAAGGAAAAGAATACAGAAAAGTAGACCAAAAAATTTTTACTGGTGTCAGCTGATCAGTGATCCCCATAAATCGTCTTGTTCACTGGATCACAAAATGAAGTTTAAAACATTTTTAGCAGATTTATTTTTCCACTAAGTTTAAACCTACTCCCCGTCAACACTCAAGTTGTAAATGGCTGCTTTCTCATTTAAGTATGAGATGGATGGAGAAATTTCTGCATTTCAACAAAGGTCTTTTACTTACAAGCAAAAGCCTATTTGAAAACTAAAATAACTTGGAGAAATGTTACATATAAACAAAGAAGCTGAGTTAGCAAATGATTAAATCAAAATTGCTGCTGGTTATTATAAGACCTATTTTAAGTGTTTCAATTTTGCATACTCTTGACTCCAGCAATAATACAAATTATTAGGAAATTATTATCTATGCAACACGGATATGTACGTACGATGGTTAAGTAAGTTACGAGATGTATGTGAAAATGTTTACCTGAGAGGGAAAAAAAGGGCTAAACTAAAAGACAACAGAAGTAAATAAATTTTAGAGTATGTATGCAAAGAAACACTCTATAGCCACGTAAAACAGATGTCATAGAGAAATGTTTAATAACATGGAAAGAGCAAGCCACATGATCTGGACAAACCAGAATGAATTAAGATACACCCTCACTTCACTACAGTGGTTACCATGGCAGCTAGATGGGGCAGGGGATGCTAACCGCAAGTACAAGAGTGTATTTAACACCTGTTAAAAGTAACTCATCAGTTCGCGGGTGTCATTATTATGTAATTATTCTCTCATTATTATTTTCGGTATGTTTGAAATGTTGCATAACCATTTTTACGCAGAATTTCCCCCTTTAAGTCTGTACTGAGTGTGTGTACGCTTAAAGATGAGAAGTTAAAAACTGAAGAGTCAATTGGTATAGTATCTCTGGATAATTTTACATTTCATTTATCCTACTTGCTTTTCTGACTGGTTTCTTATTTTCTAGAATAACATATATTACATAATTTATATGAAAAAATACTCTTTCTAAAAAGCAACTTATGAGGGCGCCTGGGTGGCTCAGTCGTTAAGCGTCTGCCTTTGGCTCAGGTCATGATCCCAGGGTCCTGGGATCGAGGCCCGCATCCGGCTCCCTGCTCCGCGGGAAGCCTGCTTCTCCCTCTCCCACTCCCCCTGCTTGTGTTCCCTTTCTCGTTGTGTCTCTCTCTGTCAAATAAATAAATAAATAAATAAAATCTTAAAAAAAAAAAAAAGCAACTTATGTAAGTGTTAACTGATATAAGAAAAAAAACATAATATGGCACTTTTACCATCGTGGCAGAGTTCCTTCTGCATGAAAGAGTCCTGTGGGTGGAAGTGGGCACAAACCTACACGCTGGAGAAGCCACATTAAGCCCCACAAGCGCCAGGGCAGGGAGTGGTCACGTGGGAGAGGTCTACTAGACAGTGCATGTCAAGACTGCTCTTTAGAGGAGCCACAGGTTAAGGGTGTACTTGTCAGTCACGTCTGAATACATTTTTCTATCACCTTATTGTAAAACCATGCTATCGTTTTACCTCATTTAGCCATTACTTCAAAAAATGACCTAAGGGCACCTGGGTGGCTCAGTTGGTTAAGGGTCTGCCTTCAGCTCAGGTCCGGATCCCAGGGTCCTGGGATCAAACCACGTGTCTGGCTCCCTGCTCAGTGGGATGCCTGCTTCTGCTTCTCCCTCTGCCCCCCCGCCTTGGGCTCTCTCTAGCTCACTCTCTCTCTCAAATAAATAATTAAAAAAAAAAAAAAAAGGAAAGAAAGAAAGAACTAATGGAAGTTTAGTGCTGGGAAGCAATCCTGCTTTACTAAATGAACACTTACCAGATATTGTCACCAAGACGTTCAAGCCTTCAAGGACATCCATCTGCTGAAATCTTCTTCGGTTGATCAGAGGATATACCTTCCCTTGGCCACTTCTGTCCAGCAGCATCAGGCCACTCTCTGTACCCACTAACAAATTCACTCCTGTTTCAAGAACACAGAAAGACCTGAATTTTATGCTGTGCTTGGCAAACAGTCTGGATGTATGGAAAGGATAACAGCACCTATCTGGAAAAGAGTGGTTTCCTTAATTACACACAAAAAGAAATGCTTGGAATAGTCAGAGGTTAAAGTGACCAAATGACAACAAATAGAGAAGTGACAGGCTAAAAAGGATATGAGAGAAAACACGCATACCACATCCCCTCAATCTCCTGCATAATTTACCAGTTTCCCTGGAATGTTTTGAGCTCACCATCTCCTTGGTGTTACAGATTCTGTAACACCATTAGCTACATGAAACACCTGAATAAACCTTTGTCAGATACCATGACCTCTTCGTGCTTCCTTTATCGGTCTTTATTTTCATCAGCAAACTTCTGGCACGAGCTATAGATATCCACCTCAAATCCTTATCAGTTTATGACTGATCCATCTCTCACCTTAAGGTTTTCTTAAAGACCATTCTCCGTCATCATCAAAAAAGAAACAATGGCACCCAGTCTTCCATCCCTTGAACTTCTTAGGAATATTAAAATACCGTGACCGCACCATGGGAGCAGTCCTGGCTTCTAGATGTGCTATCATGGTCTTCCCACTCTCCAGCTGCACTGAGTCTCCTTCCTGGTTTGCACGCACCTTCTCTGCTTCTTAAACACAGATTTCTCCTTTGCTGTCTGTCTGCTGGAGGAGCACCTCAGAACCATCAACTCGTAATTCCATACCCCACCTGCTTTTCTACCCGCTGTAAATTTCTACTGAGACCAACTTCTCAACTTTTGCCTTTTCTGTAACAGCACCACCACCTGCTCCACACAACCAGCCAAACTTACCACCAGAACCAGAGGAGACCTCCTTCCTTTCCCTTTCCTCTGCTCCCACCCTACTTGAGGCACTGGCCACCTTGTAATTGATGGACAGAGACTTTAACAGAGGTTGTTACAACACCCTCCCTCTACCTTCTCATGGCAGCAATCAAAACAATCCTAATCTTCTTACAATACTCATTAGGTCCTACCATATTTTCAGAACTATACATTCTGTATAGGAGGGTACAAAAGCTTCAATTTGGCATTCAAATCTCTCCATACCTTGAACCAACTTACTTTTCTCTCTTTATCATTCCCTTATTTCCCTAAATGCCTTGTTTCCTTGACCTCTAACCTTCATTGTCTAAACCAACTTTGTAACATGTAGTAAAGATCACCTTATACTCCTACACAGTTGGGCACATACATGTTTGCACTGATTCCCTAAACTGGCTAATAAACTCACTGAGACAGGAATAAAGTATTTGTGCTTTTACAAACTGTTCAATCAATAGTTTCAGATAGATGGAAAGATAGGAAAGAATAGCATGTATTTCCTGAATCACAGGATCCATGTTTTATTACACTGACACACACACACACACACACCCTGCTTCCAGAAAACTTCCAACGAACAACTGTGAAGGCAACAAGGAAACACTCTCCCAGCCCCCACTCAGCTCTGTGCCTGTTCCATACTGAGCAAGTGAAACCCGAACACTTGGAGGACAGAATCTACCCAAGCAATTCTTGTTGAGGAAACTGGAAGCAACTTTTGGGATCTTGGGAAGGCTGGGAACCTGGAATTTACATATGCAGTTAATATCACTGCCATTCAAACTCAAATAAGAACTTCACCAACTAACAGAGTGCCAGGCTCATGAGGACGACAGTTACCAATACGCCAAAGCACTCTTAGGCTCTACGCTAACGTAACACAATCCCTGGAGTCCTCAAAACACGTAAAACGTGTAAAGAGGTGCCCATAAATTCTAGACATCTACAGTTTCCGGTAATAGTGTGACCTGAAAAAAGTACCCCATTAAAAATCTATTAGGCATATGATGCAGGTTTCCGTCTTGTGCTTGCGGACACAGTCTAAGTTTTATGAGAGTATCCTTGTCTATGCTGCCCCACATACACTTCCACCAAATCACAGGTGCTTTCTATCTAGTACAATGGCAGTGAGAACTTGTTAGAGCCTGGCATACTATGAAACAGCTTCCAAAAATTTGAGGGAAGCCTCTTGAATTTTTGGGAAAAGAGAAAAATCTGAGTATTCACTATCCATCTAGAGTGATCCTTAAAAGTAAACAAACCCCTCAAAATATGATCATTTGCACAGATAAGGAAAAAGGCTTATGAATGCATATGGCTCCATCTATCACCTATAACTAAGATTTTTAGAATGTGCTATCCAGACCAGCCTTGTCCAATAGAACTTTGTACCTTGATGTCCGACGTGTTAGTCAATGGCCACATGTGGCTACTGAGCACTTGAAATATGGCTAGTGCAACTGAAGAACTCAATTTTCTATTTTAATTCATTGAAGTTTAAACAGCCACATGAGACTAGTGGTTGTCATAACAGCCAGTGCAGCTGTGGTTGACACTGACATTTTACTCACCAGGTAACAGTGTGGCTTTGAACTGGAGCTCACAGCCTTACACTTTTTTAAGGCTTACCAGCAGGCTATCATGTTTTCCACAAAAACGTTTTTAATAGAAATATCATACACATCAGATAATGACTGAATTTTAAGAAAAAAATTGCTGTCCAATTTAAAAACTCATTTATCATCACTGTAAGAGAAATTAACATTTATGCAATGCTCCACTCATTTTCATATCATTTTACTTTTTTGTGGTGACTATCTCCCTATCAAATGCAGAACTATAATAGGACATTATTCTTAGTGTTTTCCCTCCATACACCTAGGTGAGATAATTTTAACTAGTTTCAGTGATTTGAAGCAGAAAAACAAAACATTAATTGACAGAGTTGCTTACAGATAGAGTCCATTCTAAAGGTTTTATTTCGTGTAGTGTGTCAGTATTTTCCCAATCTTCAATATCAAGTAGCTGAAAAAATCCATGTCAAGAATCTGGTAATAACTACCAGAAGTATGAGCCTTTGAAATCTTTCTATTATTTGTGGCTTCCAAAAATAGCATCCAAACATCAATCAAGATTTTACAGTAATGAATTAATGAAGGAATAAAAGACAAAGCTGAAAAAGTCTATTCATAAACACAAAGAATGCATACATTTTGGCACTTACACTCCTTGTAATTCTCCATTATATATTTCCAAGAACTGTGTAATTTTGTGAAGTACTGAGTGTTAGCAGTCACAGGAATATTGACAGTCACTGGAAAATAATCACCTTGGAAATTATGGGCCACGAAAAAAATTAAGTTGCATGCTGCAATAACCTTTTATAAATGTGTTTTTTAAACCTTTCCACTGTTAGATATAATTAAACTTTAAATGCTAATTGCTCAAAGGTAAGCTGTACTAGGGTACTGCAATTGTATTCATAGGAATCTGGTATAGGTTGACGTGAAAAATGGCTAAGAGCTCTATAACATGTGATTTAAAGTTTCCTTTAAATTTTATGATGATATTACAGGCAAAGCTCTGTAGTAAACTGCAGACAGTTTACTATTAAGAGTGGGAACTCGGGTGCCTGGCTGGCTCAGTTGGTAGAGCATGTGACTCTTGATCTCGGGGTTACAGGTTTGAGCCCCACGTTGGCTGTAGAGATTTTATTTAAAAAAATTAAAAAAAAAAAAAAAGGGTGGGAACAATGATGTTCAAATAATCCTGGCTGCAAATGGGAAAAGTGTCTTATTACAAAAATATAATAAATATATAGCAACTCACAAAAGTCAGTTATGTAACACGATTAAAAAAGAATGCTTGAGGCTAGCATGTTCCAAGAAGGCACAAAAAAACCTACCTAACCTATCTAACACTGGTCAGCAGACCTTAAATGTGTCACCATTTCAAAGTAATACTACAGTGTCCTCCGAATCTTCTCCCCTTGTCGGTCTACCACTCTTACAGTACATGTTTTAACTTTTCTAGGTCTAAGTCTCTGAAAGGCTTATTTTTAAACTTAACTTAAAAGGCTTACTTTTTAAACTTACCTTTTAGCTTAGCTATCACAGGCAGTTTAAGGAAACCCACCACCGATGTGCCCCGAGCCAAGGAAAAGTTCAAATATACCAATTTACAGAAACAGGTTTCAACTTTATGTCATCTGCCTATCTTTCCTTTCCACCTACTGATAAAATGGAAAGTTCCACTGCATCTTTAAAAACACAAGCTCGAGATACTCTCTTCTCTGAGGTATTAAAGAAGTTAATTAGGAAAAAGAAGGATTTTAGTTAAATCATTTAATGGCACAAAATGGGGTCCAGCCTTTGCAGGACAGTAGAGGAATATAAAATCAGTGTTAAGACTGCTACCAAGTGCAAACATTCTAGATAAAAATTACTTCAGCAATTTCAAAAGAATTAACTTACTTAATTTCTATATGAACTGTAATGTATTGAATTTTGATGATACACACTCCCCACGAAGGGCCTTCGGAAAGACCAAACACGGTGGAATTCAACCCTGTGATGTGATCACAACTGGCATTCCCAGAGCAACACTTCAGCACGCCGTGCGGTGACCAAGCTGCCGTACGCGAGCCCGGTAATCCCCTCAAAGTGGCTACTGTTACCTTTACCTACGAGGTTAATACAGAAAAGGCCTTATGATCATCAGGGGACTAAAGATACTCAGTGGTGACAAGGAGCGAAATCCAGAGCTGCAAGAGTGAAAGAGAAAGTGGGTATGTCTGCAGAGGGGAGAAGACTCTCCCGAACCCCGAGGGAGAGGCTGAGCAGGAGCTTGGGAAAGAAGCAGGAGAGAAGTCAACAGACACATACAAGTCTAAAAGGTGGACGAGGAGGAACTTTTAACAAGTAACAGACCCTCTCCTTCAACAGGAATGAGGAATATCTTGAGGTTCAGGAGGTGAGTGCTGAGGCCCTCACGTCAGCCTCAAGGCTTTAGCTGGGTTAGGGGTTGAGGGTGAGGGGTAAGGTAGGCGGGGACAGGAGGGCTGATCTGGTCACTGGGGACACAGAGGCCATCATGAACACTCCAACAAACAGCATGCTGAAGTCAATGTGCTGTGCACTTAAACCAAAATGGATCGCATGTCTTCTGTCCACTTGGCACTTCCTTGGAAGAAGAAAAGGACTAGAAAGAGGGTCCCTGCTAAAAAGAGCTGATTTTGGAGTTTAGGCAGAAGGAGAACAAGAACAAAGTGTGGGACTGGAAGACAAGGTACAACCAAGAGAGGGTCTATCTGTGGGAGTGAGGAAGCTGATGGCTCAGGGGAGACAGAGAGGCCAGCCCCCAAATGAGAGAGGGCAGAGTCCTCACGTGGCGGCCTCCCCAGGCATAGCCTCTCGTGCTGTCGTAAGCTGTGAAGAGGCTGCACCACCACCGTGGAGAAGGAACAGGAAGATGGCACCACAGCCTCCTTCTGCACACTCTGGCCCGTGGCAGACTGCTTTTAAAAGCTTCATTTCCACATTAGGCCCAAATCATGAAGAGCAAGGCAAAAATGTTCAACGGAAACATTTAAAAAGCAATCTACCTCAATCCTTCATTCCAATACCCGGTGGCTGAAACAAGTGCAAGCCTGCACACGCACCTGCATGTTTCTGCAGGAGAAGGTAACAAGGGTGGGTATCATGGAAGTCTTCCCACTTATCTGTCAACAACTCTTTACAAAACCCCCGAACTGTCCAAAACAGTACCTTCTCTAAACGACCAGTTCACCCTTCCGGAAAATAAAACGATGACAGTAACAGTAGGAGTAAGATACCTACCCCATAAGGCAGCACACAGAATCTCGGAGTTGAATCTCTTCTTATATTTACGAATCTCCGGGGTGTCACTCTGTGGCCTAGTGTTGGTGGGATTCACATTGACCACTGAGCCCTTCCGGGTAGGATCTTGCCTTATGGCTTCTGGTCTCATTCCATCACAGGAAAATCCAACTAGAATACAGTACACTTGAAATTATTTTCTGCACACACAAACACTGCATCTGCCTCCCTCCCCAACTACACCCCAAGTAAATATTCATATGTTATAACCAACTCTTTGTCAAGGAAAAGAAATTTGTACGAAATGTATATGGAAAAAGGAAACTGACTATGCAGTTCATTGCAAATAAGGCAATGAAAGCAGGATGGGTGTTTCTGTATCTGAGGTGTGTGCCTGCAAACCATCACTGTGCCATGCCTAAAGCCACCAGGAAGAGCAACACAAAGTGACCGAGTCCTGTTTGTCAGCTGCTTTCTTGTTGCTAGTTTACTTACCCACAGAAGTCACTGTTGTCCCACTAGATGGAGAAATCTGTAGTAATCTGGGGTCTATAAAAGGTGTAAAGGAGGAGGAAGATTTGTGTTTCTGGAGTGTGCTACTAGCGGACTGAGTCTGCAATGTAAATTTCAATTTTATTAATACAAATGACATTAAAAAGATAAACATAAAACATTTCAATCCACTTCTGTACTGCACGGTTTCCCACTAGGAAGCCCTATCCCTCCTGCATCATTCCCCCCAAATACTCTCAGGGGTGCCTCTGCATGTGCACAACACACCCCACCAACAGGCCGTTCAACCTGGAACCACCAAAAGAGCTACATCTTTTTTTAGAAATACTGCTCATCTAAGAGGAATGCTGCGAGCTACCAACAAAATCTATACTTTATGCTCCTGGTTGGTTTTTTTTTGTTTGTTTTTAATAAATAATTATAATAAAAACTCCTAAAGGAGGTTTGAGATGTCTATCTCAGTTCATCAATTTCTGAATTTACTCTTCTGCCCAAAAAAGGCCAATTAACTTCTGTTGGAATATTGGCAAACCTTTACTTCGTATTATTCATTTTAACATGAGCCTCTTGCCAGAAAGCTACAGAAGCTTTGGCGACCACCATTTTAGGCGCATCATCAGGAAACCCGTATCGAACAGGGGCTCATTAGTGAAAGGTGCAAATGACAAGATATGGCACATACTTTTGCTCTTTTAGGAGCACTAGTGTTTTGGTTAATAGTGTAACTTAAGACCAAAAAAAACACAAAGAAAGTGAAACAAATTGTTAAGTGGAAATGTAATGACAATTAAAAACAAAACGAACAGAAAAATAAACTTGCCAGTTTAGTGAGTTAAGGGTTATAGTAAATACTGTACATTAGAGCAAAATGGAGCCAAGTTTAAATATAAATATAAGGAGAAATGTGAGTGTAGGTGGGATATATCACTGGAGAAAAAAGAACACTTCCAATCAAGTGCTTTTTAGTCCTGAAACCTTTCTCGCCCTCCATGGGCAGCTAAAAGTCGCCATGTCCTAGAGCCCGAGCCCACCTAGGCTCCCAGGCTCTCTCCTTCCACTTGACACAGCTGCCTACTGGCAAGCTTCCCACCCTATCCTATGATCAATGGCCAATCCATCCAATGGCCAATCTTCTGCAAGCCCACCTTAGAAGCAGTTGACTTGGCCCTGCTCCTCAGGGGAAGAGGATTATTCTGATTCTTTCTAAAAAGGGAACCAAAATAGGAGCAGGTAGAGACAGGCTCGCAGTTAAATGCTTACATTAACAAGATTGGCTGAAGCTCCATGCCACTTTCAACCTCCTTCAACTGTTAGGCAAATGCATTTAAACCAAACCTCCCAAGAAATCAAACCACTTGTTTAATTTAGTACGGGGTGCTCAAGGGGGACTCTGTCACTGCACTGGGGTCATCATCTTGTTCCAAAGATCAAAGCATCACCCACCTAGCACCCAGACTGAGCACCACAGCCAAGCCTTCAAACGAGCACACGGGATTTCCCATTCAAAATTTTAAATTAAAAGCATGCTCAGACCTTTGCTCTTCTTAGCATCCTAATTTTCTAGATTTCCCTAAAAATCATTTGGCCTTTTCTTAAACTCCGAGTGATTGTGAATTTCAAGGGAAGAAGTCCTTTTAACAGGGCTGGTGAAAACAAATGATTAACCAACAATCTCCCCCCATCAAAAACAAAAAAGCAATCCAGCCCTGTTTGAAGGAGATTCCTGTAGAGGATAACAAGCGTGTCCAGATAAGGCCAGGTCTGCTTAACCAAATTTTTCTATATTTTATTTGTCGGATAAAAAGAATGAAAAGGGCAGATTCCACAAACGACTACAAGAATTTCATGCCAAATACAAAATGGATCTGAGAACACAGCAATCATTTTATTTAGACTTACAAAAATAAACTGAATAAGGAAAGCCATGCAACTACACTTATCTAGAGAAAAGTAAACAGTGAACTGGCAAGGTGGAGGGACATTGATCTAGGGTTACGGGATTTGTATGCAGATCTGAAACATGTTACTCGGGGTTGGGGAGAAGGGTAGGTGACAGAAGAAAGCGGGTGGGAAGGGAGGGATGAGGGGCGTGGGAAAGGTCTCCTCTGCAAACTAGCTACTAGGCAGTGCTGGTCATACCCTAGGAAAGCAGCCAGCTGTGGTGCGAGACATACCTCATTAGTAGTGAGCTTGTCCTGGGGTGTCTGTGGGGACATGGTGGGTGTCGGCTGGCTGGAGGATGGGGAGGAGGAGGTGGAGGAAGTGGAGGAGGAATGGCTTTGCTGTAAGAGATCTGGCAAGAGGTGAATGCGACCGGCAAAGCCATTGCTCTCATGATGGCTGGCGCGCTTTTGGTCAACTGTACTCTGTAGAAAAAACAGGCACACTCGTCTCGCTCAAGCGCTGCTGACATTCCCTATGACCCTACTGATAACTGACTTAAAGGTGCTGTGTGACTTTTCAAACTCTGTTAAATAATCAAGGAAAGACCACAGGAAACTGGTCGGAATTGTTCACACTTCCTCACCGAATGCCTCGACTGAGCCAACAGAATTCAAAGTACCTCATCTGGTGGCCACAGGACTTGAGCGTCAGTGACTGCCTAATTTGGTTTCTCTGCCACACTAGCTGTTGTCACCAAAACCACTCGCCCTTTTTTTTTTTTTCTTAAAACATCTTCCCGTCTAAAGCTCTAGAGAGTACCCTGTCGCTTCTTTGAATCCTGGTCTTTTCCACGTTCTTCCCACTTTCTATCCAAATGCATTGCCATTGCATGAAACACACTCAGGAAAAGTCCAAAACACTAGAAAGGCGCCTGTTCTATGTCATGGGAAGCGCATCACTTCTCTGTCTTCTAAGCTAAGAAATGAACAGACAGTTGTAAAGCTGAGTAATCCGAACCGAGCACATCGGGGTGGTACACATTTAATATTCAACAAGTGAGGAAACTAACGTTTTAGAACACGCAAGAGAGTCCTCCCAACCCTTCTGCTCCACGAGGCCCTCCTGTGACTGATGAGGCTCATCCGCTCGTCCACTGCTCCTGCCTAAGGGCTGCTCCTGCTGCAGCACAGCGGATGCTCAGAGCTGGGAGCTCTTTGCAGAACCTCCGTGGCTGCTCTGCTCCAGACTGGGCTCTGCCTCCTCACTCTGCAAGCCTGCTAAAGGGACTCCCTGTGGCTTTTCTACTACTCAGACACAGACTGTGAGAATCAGCGTGGTGCTCGAATGAGGGCTGCCGCACAACATGCAGAGGAGCAGCAATGTGGGGTGGAAGACTGCTAGCTACCTTCTTGGCATGCAGCACATACCTGCCTCCTTAGCCCCTGACACTCTACCCTCTGGGTCTTGTTAACATGAAAACAGATGATGATGTAGAAACAGCATGAGTGAGTGAATGAGCAAGTGGGTTAATGACTACAGGAGAAGCTCTGCCTCTAACCACAAAGAGAAGACACAGGTACCTGGCGGACGATGAGAGTGCCCTCCTTGGATGGGGTCATGGCTGGCTCACTTTCTACATCGTCATGGACAATCATGGTTTTCACCGACTCTGTTTCGCCATTGCTCAAATTCAGAGATGACCTATCGAGACAAAATTCAGAAGTGAAGGGCTATCATCCCATGAGTCGAGGACATCCTGTTTAGATTTTTCATCTTCCCAAAGGCCTAAGATGAGATCAGGCTACAGATAGTTTCCTCAAAGAAAACAAATGTTTAGCTCTTCCCCTTCAACAAAGAACTGTCTGCCAGTATAGTTTGCTTTTGAGCAAAAACATCTAAATGAACTCTCATGGTTAACGTGGTTCAACTGAACTGAAACTTCCCTTTTGTCATACTGTCAAACTGAAAAGAAAAAAATAAAATACACTGAGGTACTGGGGAGAAGCACTGACACACCCGCACACATAGACAAAGAGAAGGGGGAAGAACACGAAGGCTGCCTGTTGCTGAACCCAGGAGAACTCAATGTTAAATGTTCATACAGTCAGGATAGGTTTAGAAAAAACTGGTTCTAAATGAAAAGAGTTCAGTGGAGACACTCTCAGCCGCTCTAAAATACACCAAGGACTGACGCTGCTCTGGTGTCCTCTGGTCCGGAGGTGGCTTCCTCAGCCCCTTCTTGTTCTACATCATCGTCTTCCTCATCTGTCGTCCCTGACTCCTCACTGGATGAGGAGTAGTCTGTCACTTTGTGTGGTGGTCGCACATCTTCCACTGCTCGAAGCTCTTTGGCCAGTGCAGTCAAATCCTAACGCACAGGACAGAAAAGAGAGTAAGGTAAAGGGGTGTGTGCCGGGGGTACTGGGAAGAAAACAGCAAATTATGAGACATTCTTCATTTTAACTATTGATAAAATAGCCACGACATCCATTTTGTAAAGCTATTCTGTATCTACCAGTAACATAGGAAGGTGAGCTCTTAAAGCTTTTGTAGAAAAGACCAAAAAATGTGAAAAGATAGGGGGAAAAATAAAAAGCTACCAATGTTGTACATAGTTTAAATCTCACAACAATAAAAAACATAATCTGCTTACGATAGGCTAATAGTGCTTTTTAAAAACCCTAACATAAAATTCTAGATCAACACATGTTGTAAGGAAAATCCTTGGAGTTCTGCCTATATAACAAAGTCTTCTTTCAAAGAGATTATCCAGAAAGCAAGATTTTAGTTAAATTGGGCTGACTGTAAGTTTTTCTTTGGTGAACTTGTTATTTTTAACTCCACCTTTTATTTTAACAATTTCAGACCTATGAAAAGTGAAAAAGTGAGTATATCTGGCCTCACAGAGTGTTAACAACTTGCCACATTCCTAAGAAGGTCCACGACACAGGAAGTGAGAAAGTGGACGCAGCATGTGCTGCTGTGGGCAGGAGGTGAGGTGCTTCCCTGGCACCACCTGACCCACGTTTTCCTGCAATACTGCCAACAAATATGAACATCAGACAGAAAGGATATCTACTTTAAAAGACATCATTCAAAAGCAGCTTCATTTCCCATGATTCTTCCATACTGAGATATTTTAATACGCAATTATCCACAGATAATTTTCAAGCGTGATTATTATTTATACTCTACACCTTCATGCAGAAGTCCAAGGTTTCTACTTGGGCATTATATTTGAAAGTAAAGACTTTTTTTAAAAAAAGCGGGCTACATAGTCATTTTTCCTTTCTCTTTTTAGCAGTTCCAAAGGAGTTTCCTTCTCCACGGTTATGAGTATGTTGCTGTTCTTTGAGCTTGAGCCTCTAAAATAACGGAGTATCGGACCTTCAGTCTTACTATTTCATGATTACAACTATGGCTTTTTAAGAAGTTATTTTTAGAAGTTCTGTGTAATAATAATAATAAATATATGCAGCACATTCTATGTTAAAAAAGATAAAGCAGAAGCTTAGAACTTTTGAATTCTAGAAAAGAAAAAAAGGCAAGTTGAAGGAGGAAAGGAAATGTAGATGGACTACAATCTAAGCTTAAGAGGCAATTGGAATGCTGCTCGGCTGCGGCATTTTCCAGACATGGGGCTTACCACTTCGCCCTTCAGCGCAGAGCAGTTTCATTGAGCCGGAGAAGCCATCAGGGATGAAGAACGCACAGCACAAGGAAGCATGGGAGAAAGAAGGGGAGTGAGGGGAAGGACAGGAATCAATTCAAGCAGGAAATCAAAATTCCAAAAGGCTTACAATCCCACAATGGGCAGAGTTACATGGTTAGTTAATGCAACAAGGACTACAGGCCAAGTATGAGGAAGTCACAACCATCGCTCCCAGTAACAAAAGGCAGAAGTTAAATCAATAGGTGAGCTGAAGAAAAAGGGAATGTAAAAAAACTTACTCTAAAAACCAGTTTTGTAAATGCCCAACTCATCAAGAATATGTCAAGGTTAATGCTCAGCAAAGATAAAAATAAAAAGGCTTTTCTCTCTTTTGTACTTAAAAAAAAAAAATTACTACAACAGCGAGGTGGGTGGGAATGTGCACAAAAGTGTCTGAGGATATGGCATTCCTTCTAATTCCTCAAATCTGTGAGGGGGTGGGGGAAGGGGGTGGCCACAGAAACGACTGCAGGCCTCTTGACTACGTATTTTTAATAGAAAGATCTCACTCACTCAAGCTTAGAATAAATAAAACTGATTTTGTATAATTCTTACAGCAGGCTTGAGAGGTCTGAAAACTTCTTTCTTTTCTTCAGGTTTTTTCACTGCATTTTCTAGGCGCTGAGACGGAGAGCCTTCAGATTTGGATGATGCTGTGAAATTCAAGAAAGACAAGAAAGGCAGGAACAGATAAGCACAGAGAAGTGTGTCACAAATCTGACCTAGCCCACCTAGCCTTTGTTTCTTTCCCCTTCCCTCCCGCCCACTTCTGGTAGCCCCACTCAAGGCAGGTCTCCACATGCAGACCTGACTCTGCTTAACATGTATTCACAATACCTTGTTACACTATGTCAATAATATAATAGAGAGAATTTTCATTAACTTATTATTTTGAGGGTTAAAATAATCAATAATAATGACAGCATTGATGGGAGTCCATATTGAAAGAAGTGGGTTCAAATCCCAGCTACGGACATTTAGCCAATCACCTTGGACAAGTTACTTAAGCTCACTAAATTGAAGTTGCTTTAATTTGTAAAATGGAGACACAATACATCTCTCTCTCTCTCTCTCATGGGGTTCTTTTAAGGATTAAATGATAATGCATATAAAGTGCTCACAGTGCTAGGCATGTATAAGCTCTCAAAAGTGAACTCTGTATTATTAAGATTATGGTATCATTAGCAACCTGCACCGAAACACTGTTTTGTGATATGCAGCTGTGAAAAAAACCACAGGCCTTTTTACATGATTGAAAAGGATCTCCAATACACTGATCAGATAGCCCAACAGCGTTAACGGGGAAAGGGAAAAGCAAAGGTATCCTACATCTCACTCTGAAGCGCTCCCCAGAGCCACTCTGAGACCCAGGGTGGGACCCAGGCTGGGATCCTGAGTTGCTGGACCCCGAGGAGCTGCCACTGCCAGGCCTGGGCACCAGCTTCTCCACTCTCTCCCACAGCAGCCTGGGCTCAATACTGCTGTTAGAAAAGAAGAGAGAACAGCTAATGCATTATCCTAAGATGTAGTATCAAATTATAAACAGATGCATGATGTGTCCACCAATGTCTCTGAAATGTAGGGGTAAAATAAGGGAAAAAATGGCCTACAAAAAGCATTCAACATTAAATTCATCAAAAGTTACAACGACATCATTCATGGGTTTTTATCTCAGATAACCTTTTTTAAATTGTAGCTGACACACAACATTACATTAGTTTTGGGTATATGAAATATCTCAGATAAGCTTAAATCAAAAATGTTAAATAACAGGCTACCATTAGCCAGACCCTAAATCTTCATCACAACTGACAGGAAATGCTACTGCTCAGTCAAAAAGTGTTACTGTTACTATTCCTGTCACAGCTATAAACTCAGTTTCTTATTATAAAAAAAATTCCACTTATATAGTCACACACAAAATTATGCTGTTTCTAGGCTGTTGATCTCACTGTCCATCAATGCCATTAAGAGCTGACACTTACACAAGCATACTCCTTTGTATGAACTGAGTTAGAAATGCGACAGAGAGCATAGGCTACAATGTTCCCTGGCCACGGACACACCCAGAGCATGAATTTGCTAGAACACAATTAAGACACAGGCTCAGTCACAGGAGAATCCCACAGTGCACCCTCATCATTTAAGGACTAAGAATGCTCTCTGCAGATTCTGGTCTGTCATCCATCTTTGTGCTCCAAGTTATATCAAGGCTCCACGTGCAGAAGGCTAATTTCAGAGGTTCAGTGATGATTAAGTACAAAATAGTCAACACAGTGCTCCTTCCTTCCCCTAGGATGGCACCAGCCAATGGAAATCACTTGACAGGATGAATATACATATATATATATAGCTGACTGGTAATAACATGGCAGCCATGCCTGCATGTGGCTACTGAGCACATGAAATGTGACTACTGTAGCTAAGGAAATTAACTTTTAATTTTATTGAATTTTAATTAAGTTAAATTCAAATTTAAGTAGCTTCATGTGGCTAACAGTTACTGTATAGTACACAGAACAGCTCTACAACCTAAAAATATTATTTCGTTAATTCACTAGTTTATTACAGACTGTAAGTCAACCACTGACTTTTCTTTAGTAGCCTGTTTGTGATTTCTGTACCAATCCAAAGCACTTGGGACATCCTTTAGATGATAAGCTCCCTCAGGTTCCAATTCTCTTAATCTCTCCCCTGCCTTTCCCTGCTGTTCCATCCACTTGCTCTTAGAGAGCCAGAGAGTTTTCATTTTAAAAGTGCTGAAATATACAACTGGATTCAGACTCACTAGAGACCAGTTTGCTGTTATTCACGATAATGGATTTTCTGGCAGTTTTTCTTTTATAAAGTGACCATCTCTTTACCTCAGACATTCCATGTTTATGAAAACAAACATGATGTAATATGCCGTGCAGTAAACCTGTTTTTAAGCTTCCCTCTTCTCTTACCTGGTGGAGTTTCTTTGACCTGCTTGGCTATTTTGCTGTCCACTGCCTTGCAGTGGGGAATCCCGACGGGACAGAACAGGGGAACGAGACGTTGTCCTCACAGGAACCTTTGGGTAGAAAAACATAGCAATTAAATTATTGAAAATATGAGAAGAAAAAAGACTTCCTTACCAAAACATATTTTTAGAACAGTCCTACTTATGTGAGCCTTACTATCACTACCCCCCACCCCCCATCCCTGATCCTTTTCTGCCCTCCACTGATACAATACGATAGAGAAAATTCAGTCAAAGGCATCAAAGGAGCCAGGACAAACAGCCTTTCTATGCTTCTGTAACATTCAAATGATGTTTGGACTGAAGCTTCATGGCAAGGGACATACAAAGCATTTTGCTGAGATAATGTGAGAATCAGGAAAATAAGCTCAAAGAAATCAAACAATGGTCTACAAATGGATCAGCAGGAAACAAAGACTGGTAGGAAGCAAGAAAATATTCAGAGGAAGCAAATTCCAAGTGGAGGAAAAATAAACGAAATGAAAATGCGCCTTTTGTTTAATTTCACCATTAAGTAATTACCAAAACAACAAAAAATTGAAAAGGAAACCAAAAATCGCTCAATTTAAAAAAGAAAAAAAAATCATTTTTTTGGAATTTTAATGTAAAATTTTTCTTAAAAGAACCTTTTCTGAAAATTTTGGTATTCATTAATATTGCAAAATAATTTGTAGCTTTTGTATAAATGCTTAAGACAATAGCTAAAATATATTTTGATTCTTTTTGTTCTATGAGTATATTCTTTATAGACTTACTCATATATTATTCTGTTACTTTGTGCTTAAGTATAGAGTTAATGACAACCATAAAAAGCTAACTGGCTGCTGGCTGAATTTAACTGCGTAACTATGGAACTTTCCCCACTGTAAAAAGTTCCTTTGAAGTTTCATTGCCCCTTCATTCTGGTGAAGTCACCATACCCTTAGTTAAAATAAATAATTAAAAAAAAAATAACAAAAAGGAAAAAAGCAGCACACATCTGTCTTTCTGCTTCTTACCCTTGGAGGCACCTCGTCACTGTCTGATCTAGACCAAGCCTTTTGGGTGGGGTCAGGTACCTCCGACTTAGAGTCAGAACTCTGACTTAGCACCTCACTGCGGGAAGGTGGACATGGGTCCTGAGAGCGAAGATGGTGGTGTGCAAATTTGGGAGGAGAAGGGTCACTGAAGGAATGGGATCGCGAGACAGGGGAAACATTGTTCTTGAGAGATGCCAGGTGGGACCACTGTACCTTACAAGAAAACAAAACACAAAACATTCAATGCGTTCCGCATAAAACGCTTTTCCGGTCAATACCAAATCCAAACCAAGAAATGGGGAAAGGCAAACGGGGGCAATACAGTCCTAGGTAAGCCAAGCAGTGGAACAGTTACACTTCTAAGTGAAAAAGCAGTCTGGGGAACACAATATATAGAAAAAACCAAATGTACATTTATAAGGAAAACTTTTAATATCCAGACTAACATTACAGATAGCAGTAAACATGAAGATTAATGAAACAAAACAAAACAAAACAAAAAAACCCTGGTAGACCTCCGGTCCTAAAAGAGAGGACAACATGCTCCATGCACATCCATGTCAAAGCAGAGCTGACAGGCAGAGAGAGAGAGGGAGGAAAGAAAAATCACAAGACTGACACTGCCATACATTCAGACCTAGCTATCCATCCTCATGGCACCTGGCAGTGTAAGGTTTCAGACCAAATAACCACAAAATAACACATTCATGAGCAAAGACAAGCCCCTTGTGTGTTGGCAGACTATGGTAATACAACTTAAAAACAGCCAACTTTTCAAATACACCTACGATTTTGCCTCCTTCTTCTCCCAAGTCCTAAAACGCTCAAACCTTAGAGATCTCCATACATGTTCATAGTAGTTAGGAGAAAAGGAATTTTGGTTTCTTTAGGAATATTCAGTACTATCATTCCCTCTGCTGACTGCTACTGGAGTATATGCCTTCTACTTGACAACTGAAGAAACAGGACAACGACTTGTCACCTGAGTTAATCTGGTTGCTTTTTAAGCTGGTAAAGCAATCTCTGAAATAATCTGTATTTTCTTTATTGTATTTTATCATTTTAAAATAAGTGTTCAAGATTGCAATTTACATAATTCTAGCTATGCTATCCATTATATCAACACATTTAAGAAAACTAAAAATCCAAATCACAACTGGTTCTACCTCTCCAAATGCAAGATTCAGAATAAGTCCCAGGTCATGATTTCTATGACTTCCGGGAGAGTGACAAATTACACTTATTGGTGGAATAATCTCAGAGTGGAATAATCTCAGAGTGCTAAAATGTTTAAAATTTTCAGGGGGAAAAATCTGAAAATGAAAGTATTATCTGTAACTATAACAAAAAATGGGCTTCAAAATAGAATCCTAGTCTCCTCAAAGAATGTTTTCATAAGTAGAGGTTTCAGCCCAAAGCAACTTTAGGTAGAAGGAGGAAAAAGGAGACTATCTCTAGGCACTACATTAGTTAACTAATATAGAAGTAGCCTACATAATTCACGAATTCCTATTTTTTTAAACTTTTAGTGGGCAAACATAAAAATTTTCAATTTGCGGTAAGTTTAACTTTCAGAATAGAGGTCTTAGTCCTGGACTCTGCATACAAGCACTGTCAAACCTATTCTGCCTTCCCTCTGTCCTGCTCTCCTCACTCTCTGGCTTGTGGGTCAGCTCTTGTGTGAATCAAGAAACTGCGGACCCCATGTAAGTATCTCCTTGCCCCGCAGTAACCCCCAACCCCACAAATATGCCCTTTGTTTAGGTCTGGTTCTTCTTCTTTTTTTAACAACTCCTCCACACTGGGATTACTGATTGTAAAGCATGTTCAAATCCTCACTTGGACTTTTCAGAACACAACTACTTCTATCACAAGAATAGGAACTTTTGTTCCCTAACATTTGCAAACATCAGTGACAAGTAAGCTCAGGCTTAAGAACCTGTTCCCAATATCCTGGATTACACAGCTTCAAGGAGCAAAATATCTAAAAGTCACTTATTTTCAGTAAGAAAATGGGAATCTGTGTTTTAAGGATCATTCAGACCTTTAACATGGGCAATCCCTGCTGTTGCCTTCCTTCTCTGGATAGTACAGAGGGTTCTCTTTTAACCACACAGCACTCAGCCCAGAGGGGGTTCTCCCTCACCTAGACGAGGCAGAATGCTCTGACCAACCCAATGAAAAGTCATGACCTTTACCCTGACCTACTTCAGGGGAATGCACACTTAACCTACTACAGTGTATCTTCTTTTGGCTCTTGAACCTTTGGAGAATCTAATAAAAGCCCCTTTTCCCAGAAAAATATGCTCAGTTGGACAAAACCAAGAAATTATACATGCAATTTCAGGGCAGACATTGGTTTTCTAAAGCCCACTCATGGAGCTGGCCAGGAGCCAAGGACCAAAGGTTAAGAAAAGGTTCTGGTTCTTCCTCTATGTACTTATACTAACTTTCCAAAACCTAAACTGAAAAATTTTTGTATTAGAGAAAGGAGGCACGTGTTCATGAACACCTCAGATAGGGAAGACAAAAAGACTAAAAGAAGAAATCACTGAGTCTAGATATTCTTAGCAAGTACAACAAAAATCTTAAAAAACAAAAAAGCCCTCCTTTGCTCTATCAACTGAGGGTATATTGCCTGTATGTTAATAGAAAATCACTCCTGCTAATCTCTTTTCTTTCTAAATGTGGTAACAAACCAAACTGTAAACGTTACAAGCAGGCCCGTGGCTTAGTGAGCTATGTTGTGAGTCTCCTCGGCCCACAGCCACCTGGCTGTTGCTACCTGTGGCTCAGCTGGTCTCTGCAGGGCAGGATGCACAGACTCGGAGTTGCCATTGGAAAAAGACTCTGATCTGGAAGGCACTGGTGGTTCCAATACTCTGCCTGTCTGCTTAGACTGGGCTTCAGGGGAGCTGTGGTTAGTTTTCCTAAATCTATCTTCCACCTGCATCAGAGAATTAGAAGACATAACTCAGTGTTAGTAGGGAAAAGCTGAGATCCTGAAGAAAGCCTGAAAGTGGAAGAAGGGCCCTAGAGAGAAATTTTCTTTTCTCCAACTACGAGGAAAGAGAGGGGTGGCTTAAAAAGAGAGGGGACAAATAAAATAGGGCTAAAATTTGACTTGAGATAAAGAAATACTTATGAAGATAAAAATTAAGCGTTTAAAATCTCCTGGCAAGAATTCTTAGATTGTACATAATGACAAACTAGGAAAAAAGAAATTAATGTCACAACAAACTTAACAACAGATTAAAAGATTATCATCAGGAAGCCAAAACACATTTTATTCTTCCAAAAATAAAGGCATTCCAGAATCAGCAGAACACTTGTTCCCAGAATTAGAATTAGGGTGAGACATGGCAGAAGGATGCCACCTATAGGCCAGGTTTAAACACACTCTAGAAGCTGCCCAGGTCCCCCTATTCCTAGTATCCCCAGTTACTGCTTTGCCACATCCTTACTGTGAGGCTCTGGGTAGCCCAAATGTGCCAGTTCAGTAACAAATCACAGTCCTTGAAAAGTTAGTAAACTGGGCTACAGCCACACTTTATTTTCATTATGGTTTTGGAAAAACAGCTAACCAGGCCACCATTCCCTTTGTTTACATTGTAAGAATGATTCTGCCATACAATCTTCTCTCTGTTTAGTGTTCAATTCCTCTGCGATTTGTTAACAGAGGCACTCTAGTCGTCTATGGAAAAACCACTAAGCAGATAAGAGACCTTGGGCAAGTGTCCTTTCACGTCTCTGAACCACAACTTCTCAGCTAGAAAACCAAGAGAGTGGCTCACAACTGGTCTCTATGCCCCATTCTAGCCTTAATATTACATAGTTCCTAAGCGTCATTCTATTACTTTCCAGGGAACAATGGACACCGGATCAATGTTCAAGCAACGAAGGAAAGAAAATACCTCTCGAGCTCTGTCAGCGGGCTCGTAGTGGGGTTTAGGCTCTGGAGCGTGAAAGCTTGGCTTGCTCCTTTCCTGCTGCGGTAGCTGGGGCTGCTGCGGGTGCGGCCTCCTGTGGTCATGCTGTAGAGACAGGAGATATGCTTGTTCTTGTTGCAACTGCCTCTGGAGCCTCTCTGCCTGCCGGTGCTCCTCCATCTCCCGCCATCGGCACTCCTTGGAGAGGGAGAGGAGAATACTAAATCTATGGGACACTGCAGAGCTCGCCTCTTCTCTGGATTCATTCTCGACTTTTTAAAAAGACAATGCCCTTTGTCCTCCTTGTTTGATAACAGAGAAAAATGACTGGGATTTTAAATAGCATATTACCTGTGGAAAAATCTGACAGCTTGTTGCTAACCATAATATCACTGGACAGAGAAAGAATTCAATTAAAAGTTGGTTTCGGTGGTTTCAAAAGTAAGAATATACTAGACAAAAATCCTATGGCATGCGCTTTGAGCTTTCAGCCCTTAGCATTCTAGTTTGTTCACAGAATGCCAAGTTCTATTCAAAACCTTGCTATCTACCAAAGAGAACAGTTAACTCTTTAACAGGAAATAAATATATAGAAGCCACCTCGAAAAGTTGCCCAAAGTAGCATGACCACAGAGGACATCTCCATTTGAGCCTGTCAGTCCACAGCACTAACCAAAATGGTCTGGTGATCACCACAGGTCTGCCCAAAGCTCAGGGGAGGGATAGCTAAATGAGCCCTAATGCTATGGAACAAGACAGACACAGGGCGTTACCAGTAACATGGCCTGCTCCTGGAGCAGCTGCTGCTGAAGGATTTCCAAGTGCCGCTGCTCCTCTTCTAGCTGTCGCCTGATATACTCCTGTCACACAGAAATTACCCAGCAATCAATTTATCCAAAAGGAAAGCATCAGAACCACCTGAATGGAGCACCAAGAACCACTTGCCCCCAATGGTCTTCAGTGGTAATTCACTTAGTGATGAATATATTACAAAGCATATGGTGAAGGATTTTTCCCAAGATCATCAAATTGGCCAAGATCTAAAGAGTCTAACAAATGATATACACTCCATTGAAACATACAAAAGTATCTAAAAATTTTTGTTAGAACACAGCTGTTAAACACAAATGCGGGATTTCAAAGGACCATGATATTCCTCTTAAGGATGGGAGACTCCAGAGAAATCAAGAGTTTAATTAGATAAACCAGAGGGTTCACATTGCCCCAGAGGGTTCTTATTAGTCATTATTCATAACTAGCATGGACTGCCAATTTTTAAAACCCCAAACCGAAACCTGTTTAATATTAAAACAGAGCAAACAGGATTTGTGTTTCCTCTGATGACAAAGAAGGTACACAGAATGACTAATTCTGAAAGCCATGGTCTGTGGGCACCAGACTCAGGTGATTTCTCACAAATGAACAAGTCCAGGCTCTTCATGATGAGACTACGACAGAGTGTGTGTGTGTCTGGGGGGTGCAGGGTAGGTGGGGGGGTTGGGGGAAGCCTATTTTCAAGGGGAAGAAAACAAGTCTCTGCAACAATGAAAACAGGTAAACACACCCAAAATATGTAAAGAGGAGAAATCCAACCTTGAAGTTGCATGCATATTTAAGAGACTAGGAAATCAAGAAACCTTTACCAATGACCTCTAGAAAGCCCTCCCATTTTCTCAGTCTCCTCATTTGAGAAATGATTATCAAGAATATTCTCTTGCAACTCTCAAGACTTTTTGTGAGGCTGAAATAGGACACAGACATGAAACAACTTTGAAACACAAACAAAAGAAGTTTCCTTCCCTTTTCAACAGGGAAAAAAGCTAACTACTCCATAGAGGAGTAGACTAAAGGGTCTATAAGAAATTTTATCTGAAATTCAGATTATGTCTTTACAGTGTCTAATGCTGACCGTCCACTTATACTATGGCGCACACTTTAAAATTAAAAATAGCCATAAATCTGGGCTGGACAGAAGTTTTAGTTCAGCAATAATTCTGGTTGAGAGAATGGTGGATAACACAAATCATGACATATGTATTTCCTTAGAAACCTTCATCTTACAAAATAAATTTCGCCCAAAAAAGTCAATCTGATTCCAACCTGGGCTCCAAGCCCCGTGCCTGTAAGTCTAACCATCCATGGCACATGCTATACCAAGCACTGCCCTAGTGTGACGTGTGGCCTTGCCCTGCAACGGCTGAGAAAGGGATTTGAATCCCAACTCATCTCTTCTTGGAACTAGACAGCACTGAACCATAACTTGAAAGATCAAATTAGCACAGTTGGGGGTTTTTTGCCTTCAAAACACAAGGACAACCAGGAAATTCACATCTGTCCAAATCACAAAGTTCCTAACGTATAACGAGCACACAGAATACAATTATACATATACACAAACATGCACACGTAATGCAGAAATGACACATTTCTCACAGCACTGTTAACACGGGGACTATTTTGCAGAAGAGTAAGGAGAGCAGAATGAAACTACTTTGATGCTATTTTTTTTAAGAGGTGAAGAATACTTGCTGTACACAAAAGCTAATGACTGCCCCTAAAACATTAAAGATTAAGTATTACTCTCATACCCACCTCTCACCATTGAATTGCAAGAATTATCCTGAGGATATTTAGTTTTTTAAAAGCTCATTTTACACCTCTTTGCAGTCCCCAAGTAAAAATTACAATGTGGAAAAAACAACAACAACAACAAAAAACCCCAACACACACCAAGGTCAACTGGCCAAGAATGTCAATAAGGTAACAAATAAAAAGTATCACTTAAATTCCTAGGAAGAACTGGTAAACAGCAAAAAACCAGAAGCGTATGATTAGTATCAAGGACAGTGGCTGAATAATCAACTTTGGAAGTTAATGCCATTGTTCATAAGTATCTTAAGTATGAATTCCAAGTATTATTTAAATCGGTCCCCCATTCATATCTTTTTTCTTTTACCCAAACCTCATAACAAAGAATGATTAATTCAAAGATGGGAGAGCTGAAGAGGCTCTGATGGGCTCACAGGGACGGCACAGACACAAAAGCACAGTCAGGTTTTATTTGCACAGGTGATTCAGGGAACAGAGATTTCTAAAGACAACTATAGCTGGCATCAATAAAATGCTCTAAGTATTATCAAAACATGGATGATCTTTTTTGGCTAAACAAAACCACAGTGTTAGTTTTTCTAATGCTAGAGATATACACTGCATTATATGCAAATATGTTTATTACAATATTCATTGTAAACTGAATATTTTCAATTTACAGGGGTAAATACAATATTCCTAGCTACTGGGTACTTCAAACAACTCTTGTGGTTGGTTTTTAATTTCACTAAGGAAAAGGTTAATTATCATCCAGATATTTGGGGTTCAAAGCATTTAAGCCAAACCCAAGAAGATAATCTTCAGAAATCTTTTGGGTATCACAAAATTTGGAGACCACTCAACTGGTTTCAAGGTTTCTAAATGTAAAGATTTATCCGTCAGTTTTTAAAGATGAGACTCAATTTGTTGCTGTGCTTCCAATTGTGCTTCAGCATTTTGAAACCTCTGAAGTCCTGAATGGGTTGTGCATACGCTCACATGTGTGTACTTTTTGCCCCAAATCCCCCAACTCTAAACTAAGCAACAAACCTCAAAAATTCATGGGTGGAACATTCTTTTGTGAACTAACCTGTTCTCTTTCAACTCTCCTCTTTTCTTCTTCTGCCCGCCTCCTCTCTTCTTCTTCTTTACGTCTTCTTTCCAGTTCCTCCAGACGCCTCTTCTCTTCTTGTTCCCTCCTTCGCTGCTCACGTTCCTGCTGCCTTCTAGCTTCCCGCTCTCTCCTTTGTTGCTACGGGAGCGAAGACAGTAGTCAGCAGGGATCTTCCCCTACAGCTCTCATGACAGTCTGCTGACCAGTAGCAGGTAGGTGCTAATGAGGGGAGCTCTACCGGCGAGTGATTTCCACACTGCCCCTTGGCCACTATGTACTAGCGTCCTCATAAATGTTGGTCAAAGGTGGTGTATTTCTGTGAATCTTTACACAGTTTGGTTCCATTTTGATATCAACTATTCCCCATTCTTCACTGTATGAAAAGAGCAACCAAGGGACAGGAAATTCCTTATCCTTGCATATCACTAACAGAATTACACAGGGCCCGTGGTAAGCCAAAGAAAAAGAAGACAAAGGAATAAAAGAGAATAGAAGTAGAGCAAAGAAAGGTAAGAAATAATTAAAAAGGAAAGGAAGCATGTATCAGGAAAAAGAGAAATGGACATCAACAAGGGTAAGAAATGCCAGCATTATTACGATGAACCTAAGAAACTGCTATGGCACACATGCTTACTATGTGTCTTGCCCTGGGCTGAGTGTCGGATAGTCTTTGCTCACTTCCGTTATCTAATGTAATTCCCAAAACAAACCTGGGAAGTAGGTATTTCACTCCTACTTTACAAATGAGAAAACAGGTTCAGAAGACTTAAGTGACTTGCCCAGTGTCACCCAGCAAACAAGCCCCCAGCCAGAAGGGTCACTCTGCCTCTAATGCCTATAGCACTAACCAGACCCAACTGTGCATCCTATCAACAAGGAGGCTGGTGCTACTCATCACCAGACTCACTCTGATGGCCTTTCCTAATCCCGGCTATCCTATACAACCCCACAGAAGAAAACACTGGGACACACTGGGCACTTGTCTGGCTGCTTGTCCCATCCAGCCCCAGACATCTGTCAATAAAGCACTTCCACAGTATGAAGCATAAATTAAGCAATTCTTCTCACGAATATGAAAAATGTTAGCCTCTAGACTGGCGCCATCCAACAGATTCTCTGGGATGATGAAAATGTTCTGTCTCAGTACTATTCACTAGAGTAGCCACTAGCCCCAGGTTGCTACTGAGTACCTGAAATGTGACTAGCACAACTGAGGAACTTAGTTCTCAATTTTGTCTCAATGAAGTTAATTTAAGTTTAAATAGCCACATGTGGCTAGTGGCTACTATGTTGGACCACAAAGCTCTGAAGAATACACGGCTACCGAATTTAAGACACAGGAAGCTGATATTATTACCACAAACTTTAATGTGATACTGAGATTATTAAGTTAAGAAAGTTTGGGATAAAGCTACTGGAGATACTAGATGCAAATATATATAATGGGTATAAAAGTAGGTATTTATTATAGTTTCAGTATTCCTCTGGGTCCGCCCCCACCCCCATCCCCACCACAAGCATTCATTCTGAAGGCAGACATTTAAAATGATTTCCTGAGAAATGTACAGAAATGTCTTATGTGTGGAACCCCTGGAGAGAGAGGATCACTTGGTACCTGGCCTCTCTCGGCTGAGTACATCACCACTACTCTCAATACAGTCCCGAATCAGCTTTTGGCTCACCTTCCTCTCTTATTCCATACATTTCACTGTTTTTTTTTCCCCACACTGTCTGCTCTTAGAATTCAAGGCACAAAAATGCACCAGTTCCCATGGGTGGGGGTGGGGGTCATAAAAAGAACTGAGTTCCTGTCTGTTTAGAAATTACAACTTAAATGGCCAAGGCATCCTTATTAAATTCAAACACCTACACTGCCCCATACAATGCGCTTGCTGCCTGTCATTTGCTGGCTTAATGCCTTTATACTTTTTTTTAAATCTTAAAAAAAGAGAAAAAGAGGACCGTATTCAAAATCAAATCTAGAGAGGAGAACAGAGAGCAAATGCCTACGTGCCAAAGAACTCAGGATCGAGGGCTTTTTGTACCAAGGCCTTTCTCTACTGCCATGGTGAGGCGTGCGTTCAGGGCACCAGGCCTGAGCACTGCCCTGCACCCCTGGGAGGGAGGTCTTTCTTTTTTAAAACCAGCTACCAGAAAATAAAACAAACAAAACCACTTCCCCCAGCCCCAGGACTTCATGAGCAACATAACACAGAAACTTGAGGTAAGAAATATGAAAATCTCATTCAAGCAGTGTTACTATAGCCTTTCTACTTCAAAGCAAATTAAGTTAGATCTTTTATTTTCTATCTTTTGCCTTTTCTATATAGGAGCAAAAAGAAGTGAGTGGCTTTTACCAGTACATCGCTTATAACAAATATACAATAGCTAACACAACCATTTTTCTAATGCTGGTCATAAAAATCATTATGTTTTGCCAATTGGGAAACCGGTTTCTTTGCTTTAAATAGAAATTATTTAATTCCTTCAGGTATTCCTAGCTCCAGAATTTCTCTGTTGAATATAAAGACATTCAAAATAAAACAAAATCCTCCATTATAATAAACCTAAAACACGAAGAATCTCTCATTCAATCAGTTTGAAAGCTTAAAATGGTATGTTTTCCTTGAAGAGGTGAACATGGAAGTTCTGTGGAAGCTTCCATCCTGAGGAGTGAGAGTGGTTTCATGTACTCTATGATTTTTACAGAGAGACTCAGCACTGCTTGGTTCTGAGAACAATTATGGGCAAGGCTGGCAATAATCAGGACACTTTCAGGTTTATAAAAGAGAAATGACTTGCTAGAATACACTGGATTTAGCAAACACCTGGCAGGCCAGGCAAGAAGGGCCCCACCTCTGGATGAAAGAAAGAACCCACAATTACAACAAAGCTGAACAGAAAGCTACCTAATAAGGTATGTACATAATTTTCTTCCAAGTTAGTCAGACAAAAGGAAAACAGGAGCATGAAGAAAAGGAAAACAGAAAGAAAGGAAAGCAATGTCTACACCCTTAAAATTCCCCCTTAGCTTCTGAGAATTTAGGTTCCAATTAATCAGATTAATAGGAACAGGTCAGAGGAGGCAAAGAACCTTATACACGGACACCGAATTTTACAACTTTTAGACAACAAAGAAGCCAAAATGGGTTAGAGAGGTCCTTTGAGAAGTTGTAGTCCACCATGGAATCCTAGAAAGAGAAGTGAAATGACTCAAGGAACAGGGGTTGTGGTCCTGATTCTACTTCCCTGGTACAAGCCACTTCCCCTCCCTGAGCCTATTTCCTGACTTGTCAGAACAGAGGTGTGTGAGGTGGGAGGGAGGCAGTCTATGTCAGCAATCATCATGGTGTGGAGTTTGCAACGGGTGTTGTTTTTTGTTTTTTAAATCAACAGTTGGTGTCTACGGTGTGAAAAAAAATTTTACAGAGCTCATAAGCAATGAACGGTAAGAGAATCATTCCTCTCCCTGCCCACCACACCACCCTGGGGAGTGCCCTGACACAGCGAGATTAAAAAAGAGAAGGAGAGAAGTGAAGAACTAAGATGGTAGGTCTCTATACCAGCAGTCTCTAAAAGTAAGCAAGACACTCAATGGAGGTCTAGGAAAAGAAAACACTGAACTTTTATTTATTTATATTTGTAGCTCACCCTTTTAAAATAGCTCTTTTTGCATGTTTTATAATATACACACTCAGTGAAAGGGTATATAAGGGTATCTATCTCTATCAGATTTATGTCCTCGGTTTCTTTTACTGCTGGGATGGATGCTGATTAAAGACCCTTCCAGGCCACTGTATTGTTCTAAGAAATGCCGTATGACCACAGAGACACAGACCCACAACAGCCTTACAGATATGCTTACTGTCATTTCCTTATATACCATGCAGACTACTAAACATTCTTTAATTTGCAGATATGATGTTGAAGTGAAGGTCCCCACTTAAACCCATGGTATCACAGTAACAGAAAGAAAAGCCACAGGCTGTACTTGCTTTTTCCTCTCTTATTATCAAAAAATTTTTTCTTTAATTTGAAAGCAAAGCCATCCACATCTCTGCTGATGCTCTGGCTATTATGAGCAAGGACTCCTCCAGAGAACCAGGAGGGAAACAACTTCATGGAGTCCTGGATGTTGCCATGCTGAGGTCTGGGAGAAACGACCATGAGAGAGCCCGGGGGGCGCTGGGCAGAGCGAGAAAAAGAATCTCAAGCAGGCTCCACGCTGACTCGGGGCTCGATCTCATGAGCCTGAAATCACAACCTGAGCCGAAATCCAGAGTCAGATGCTTAACTGACTGAGCAACCCAGGCGCACCTTACATTAATTTTTTAATTAAACTACTAAGTACTTTAAAAAGTCGAGAAGAATATAAGGCTTCTATCAAAAATAAGGTGTCCCATTTCTCCTTACTCCCAAGGTATAACCACTTTCAATGCTTTTAGCTTTACCCATGGTATTTACAACCTGATTTTTAAATAATGTTTATAAGAACTATTTAAAATTTTTTTCCACTTTAGATACCATCTAATGATTTCTCCTAAAGAATATCCATCATACAGCACCATCCTATGCTCCCAATCTAGTCCTGTAACAATTTCTGGTGAAATGAAAACCATATGCAAGGCAAACTTGAGTTTTCTGGGAAGCTATTAATTGCCTTATTTTTGTTGTCGTCATCTGTTTCACTGGCTTTCTATGGGTCCATCACAAAATCATCTGTCAAGTCTTATACTCCCACAGACCTCTTTTTTTTTTTTTTTTTTTTAAAGATTTTATTTATTTATTTGAGAGAGAGAGAATGAGAGACAGAGAGCACGAGAGGGAAGAGGGTCAGAGGGAGAAGCAGACTCCCTGCTGAGCAGGGAGCCCGATGTGGGACCCGATCCCGGGACTCCAGGATCATGACCTGAGCCGAAGGCAGTCGCTTAACCAACTGAGCCACCCAGGCGCCCTCCCACAGACCTCTTTCCAATATGGTCAAAGTCAAATCAGGTATTCTTTCCTTCGTCTTAGAATTTACTCTCACAGCACTCTCTCCCCCTCTGCCAACCAACACTGCTTGCTCTTCAGGCATCCTGTACTCGTCCACCAACTTACTAGGAGCCCTTCTCAACTCTCTCCTGTACAGGATTGCA